TGACTGTGTGTTGGAGCTCCTTTCGGATTCCAGTTTCTTTCTAACTTCTTTCCTCAATGAGTCGTATATCAAATTTCCTGTTCGGGAAGATCGATACATAAACCAAAATCAAATATAAAGAGAATAGGATAATAATAAATAATAATAGATCAACAAAAGTAACAATGATCAAACCAGTCCCCAGCAACAGCGCCAAAAATTGACATGTGTGAATTGTCAATCAAATAATTACTTGTTTCTTAATCAATTGTAGATTAATGAAAACGGGTCGATCCACATAAACTGCAATTGTGTTTATTTAGTTGATTATTTATTTAAAATAGGGGGGATATTTCAATCAATAATTAAAATAGTTATCCTAAGAAAATTCAACTAAATCAATTAAAGAAATAAATAAAAAGGAATTTATCAAGAAGTAGAAGCTTTAGTCCAAGGGTTGGATGAAAAAAATAATAATGGATTTGATCATTGAACTAGGTAATCTAACCAATCCGTTGATAAATTGGTTATAGGTATTCAATACGATCGAACACCCAGTTTTTCCTAACTTTGTCGGTGGCAAAGGTACGACCAATTGACCACTCTCTACTCGAAAGAACTAAACTAGGTACGACCATAGTGAAAAATTTTTAATTGAAAATAGTACAAAAAAAAAAAAAAGACTCAATTCAAATGATAAATCCCCTTAATAGGGTTTGAATATTTTTATACCCTGCAAATCAGGCCTGAACACTAGGCGAACGGTCACAAGTCCAACCCGGTCACAAGTCCAACCCCTACACCATTAAGCCATCCCTTACGGAACAGTCAACCTTTATTTATATTTTATGATTTCCAATATATAAGTTTGCAAATTTAGAAATATATTGATCAAAGTTGTGTATGTAAGTCCATCAAAATTCAATTGATATTTAGGTACTTATTTCTGTATTGTTAAAAATGTATTGTGGAAGAATATTATACTATAGATTGATTAGTCTACAAACCAACATTTATTTTTAATATAAAAAATTTATTTGCCCTTTGTAATGTTTGTACTTTAAAGTCGAAAGAGTAATAGAAAGTAATAATTAACAGTATTATATTAAAATATGGCTCCAAAACTTTGAACACGTATTTGGTTAAAAATATATATATATATATTATTTAATTTAAAATATTTATAAAAATTCCACTATCTCCATCTTTAATATTTTGTCATTATTTTCAATTTTAAAAAATTCAAAAAATTCTCACATTTCATTTACTTACATAACTTTTGTCTTCTTATTATTATTTTTTTTGAAAAGGAAAAATATCAACAAACTATTATAAAGTTATACCTAAAAAATTGTACCAAAAGTAAAAGAAAATAAGGGAGGTAATAACAGTGTTATGATTAAGATGAAAAATACAAAAGAAATGAGATTGTTAAGTAGTTGGAGGCACGTCGAAGGCTCTACCAAGTTACCCAGCCAAAAATGATGTACATAATTAGATACAGTGGCCAAATTCATTGTTCCACGTGTATTTAGATTTGTTTTATCTTTCAAATTATTATTAAATAATAAAAAATACATAAATATTTAAGATAATACAAAAATATTAGATGTAAAATTGTAAACAAAAATAAATTCTAAATATAATAAATATTTTTTAAAAATATATATATATATATGAGTAAAAAAATAATAATAATAAATCAAACTTATACACTATTCTCAAAAAAAAATTCTTTTACTATGTGTTTCTTTTAGTTTGAAGGAAATTTTTTACATAAAATTTTAAGAATTGTAAATAATATAAAAATAATAAATATATGATAATATATTAATTTTTTGAAAAAAATTTATATATATATATATGCAATAAAACACACATACTTTGTTAACAAAAAGTATACTTGTATGATTGAATATAAATTTTAATAAATATAATATTATATTGATTGAATTTGTTCATTCAATTTTTATTTTTTTTTTTGTGTGGCACAATTTTTTATAAATATTACTAATATATACATATTAATACAATATATATAATATATATTCTATTCATTAGAAAAGTTAATAATTTAACGTAAAATATTAATTTTTATATTTTCAATATAATTTTTTATATCTAATATAAAAAAAATAAAATGCACTCAATGGACACCCCAGGTTGATTATGACATAAAGTCTTAATATTTTAATAAATTATAAGTGAGATAATGAAATAAAAAAAAATTTTAGATAAATGTATGTAAATAATTGGATTTTTTTTAAAAAAAAAAATTGATATAGTCATATTGTAAGTCTTAACACAGTCATGTTCACGGAAAATATAGTCATATTTGATATATATTTATCATTATTTCACAGTATAAAAATAATCAATTTTTAATATTTTCAAAAATAATTACAAAAAAATATAAAAATAATAGCATATTAATGTTAGGTCTGTCCGGTCAGCGTTTTTAAGATCAATTAATTTTTTATGTGCGGTGTGAAGAATTGTATTGGTAATATAAAAAATAATATTTTGTTTGAATGATTCACTTTTTATGACTGAAAAATATATATATATTATATTAATGTATGTATATTTGTTATTTTTAATAATATTTATGGATTACTCCATTGAAAAATGTTGTATGAACGTACTTATTATTTTTTTTAATAATCATAATACTCTCTCCGTCTCATATCTATATATTCATTTGTTTTTTACACGGAGTTTTAGAAATATTAATATTACATTGAGATAAAGTAAAAATAAAGGTAAAAAGACTAAATTATCCCTATTAGTATTGTATGATATAAAGACAATGACATTTTTGTAATATATTGTAAATTGAAAGAATATTTGTAACGTTAGATAGACGGTACAATTACTAATAAAAAAGAAAATTGATATTTTGTTATGGGACGAACCAAAATGAAAAAATAGATAAATTGTTAAGAGACGAATGAAGTATATATTTTCCAAATTTTATAATAAAAAATTTAAAATAAATTTAATCTATGATTTGACAATTATAAAATATAGTAAAATAATTATATTTTATAATTTAAAATAAAAAGTTGAACTAAAAAATAAATATAATTAATTTATATTTTAATTATTTTTTATTTTAAATTATTTTACTATAATTATTTTAAATTACTAAAAATTGATTATTTTTTATTTTAAATTATTTAACTATATTTATTTTAAATTATTAAAAATTGATAATCTTTTATATTATAGAATATAGTTGTGTTCAGAATACGATCATGAATACCATTAACATGACCGTGTTACTGAGTCATCCAATACGGTCGTGTTTAAGCCAACACGGCCTTGTTCAATTCCAATCAACCATCGTGAGACTATAATTGATAAATTTTTATTTTAGTGAGACAAAATTGATAAAAAAAAAAATTCAATTGGACAAAAATTGATAATTATGTTATTAAATAAGACTAAAAATAATTTTTACTCTAAAAAAATTACATTAAAATTACAATTTCTTAAAATTGAAATTAAAAAGGAATAAATATAAATTAAAATAGTGGTTTTTTTTAACTGAAACCAACTAAACGAAATAAGAAAATACAAATTAAAATCGTGGAAAGTTTAGTTTTGATTTAACCTTTCAAAAAATCGAAACTGATAATTGTGATTAGAACCATTTGAGCAAGTCTATTTTTTTTTTTTAAATCTATATCATTCTTAATATTATTTCTAATATATAAAAATTCTAAAATACTTGTATTTTTATATTTATATCTAAACTTTTCTTATTTTACTGATATTATTATAATAAAATATTAAATACTTATAAATAATAAATAGTTACTAATGATATGAAAAAAATAATAATAATAATACTATATCTGCTTCTAAATGTCTTATTTAGTTTTTGCTTCTTGATATTTGATATTCAAGTAGTACAAATTAAAACAATTACAAAAATATTTTCATTAATCTTATAATATTAATAGGATATTTGTAAAAAAAAAAAATTATATAAATATACAAATATTTTTAATATTAAATATAATGTTACAAAAGATAAATCTAACACTCAAATTTTAAAAGATTTTCTTTTAGAAATTTAGGGTGTGATTCGATTAGCTGGTTTGACTAGCTGATTCGATTAGCTGTTTGTATTAAAATGTTTGGTAAAACAACTGTTTGATATTAGTTGTTTATACGTACAATTGAGGACATTTCTATTTTATTTTTGTTTCTAATATATTCAATTATGTTTTTTTGAGTTTAGAATGTTAAAAAAAATTTTGTTATTAATTATTGAAAATTGTAAAAGTGTTATAAAAGTATTTATTTTTATTACAGTTAAATTAAAAAAAGTAATATATTTTTATTAAAATATATAAATAATTTTTTCTATTAAAAATGATGTAAAATATAAAATAATAAATTTTTCGTGTATATATTTATTATGTTAGTTATCGATTAGCTCATTATATTTATAATTTTCAATAAATTTAATTTATTTAATTTATTTTTAGTATAAAATTTATATAATGTAATTTTAATATAAAAATAAATTATTAATATTTATATTTTCTATTTTATGTTGATTTTAATAAATTTATATATTTTACGATTAAAATAATTTTTATATAAAAATTAATTATTTTAAATTTATAAAAGTAAAACTATAATATAATAAAATATTTTAATATAATTAATAAATAATCAAAATATATTTATTTGTGTAAAATGCATAATAAAAATAAAAATAAAAAATTACACAAAAAGCTATTTCAAAATGCTATTCAAAAATTAACTTTTTAGGTCCAAAAAACTAATTTACTGAACACCTAAATTAATTTTTAACACCTAAATTAGTTTTTAACTAGTCAAACAGCTAAAAACTGTTCAATTAGCTAAAAGTTCTTCAAAATTTAGCTGTTCAATAAAGTAAAAATTCTTCAAAAAGCTATTTGTCCAACACCCCTTGCATTGAAATCCAATAAACTCTGGACTAAGTACACTCCTAAAAACAAAACAAATAGTGAACACACTAGTGTAAAAATTTGTTTCCATCTTTTGTATGAATTCCTGGGCTAGTCCGTTTTATACAAATCGAAAACAATAATACATCATCAAAATCACGTCTAAAATTCTTAGTTGTAAAAGGCGGCTAATCTGGTCAGTAAACAGATTTTTACTCTCTCTCTCTCTCTCTCTCTCTCGTCAAAACCAAAACAAACTAAACTATACATACAATACTACAAGTTATATTCCCAAACAAAGAATCGAAATCGGAATTCTTTCTTTATTTCAATGCAATGCACAGACATTGAGTGACTAGATAAGAGGCACAGCCTGCGCCTGCTCAACCCCAGGTGCTGCTTGTGGTGGGGGGGCCATTTCTCCTGCGGCAACCTGCCTCCTTTGCCGCTCGCGCAGGTAGAGAACTGTGAGGAGGCAGACGAAGAGCGTCAGAATGGTGGCGTTTCCTTCCTCCATTATCACGTTCTCCACCCAGGCTTCTACTTTCGGATAAACTTCGGGGAGTGAATCGATCATACTAATCTGAAACACAGAGCACTGAATCAATCAATCAATCCTAGATATATATATATATATGTATGTATGTATGTCTTCAATTATGTTTCACACTATTCATCAAAATTTCTACACACTAAAAGACATCACATTCAACAATTGTTTTTTTTAACTCAAAGTATCGCATCAAAAATCGATTTTCTGTTAAAAATATAGCATGCAACACCTACATACATCAGGTCAAATACTTATTTTTTATCCCAACTTTTTATTACTCTCAAAACACTCCAAAACAGTACTTTCAAAACATATCTAAACATACTCGAGGATGCCCATGAGGCGACGGAAAACCATTTTTTAGCGGAAGCAGTAGGACAAGCTATAAATTTTAGACACATCTAAATGTGCATAATTTTGAGGATCTAATCATTGTTTTGCAGAAGCAAAGCAAACTGAAAGAAATAGAGAACCAGTGATCGGGACAAGATGTACTTACAAGAACACTGTCGGCGTAATTCTTTCGTATCCACAGGCTAGCAAGGGCTAATGATACTGGCAACCTAGCAGCAGGGTCGACTTCTAAGGCTTGGTCGTAATACCGCTTGGCAAGGTGAAGATCCAATGGTAGTCCCTGGCCATGTTCGTGCATGTATCCAAGGTTGAACATTGCTTGAGCATTTGATTGAGATTTTGCGTGCATGTACGCCTCAGCTGCGCGATCATAATCTCGCTCTGTTCCCTACAAAGTGGAAGGGATATAATTACAGGAATATTTAAGAAAATTATTTGCCATCAGACGTAAGACTGAGTTTGGTGTTTTGGATTAATAGTTGAGGGTGGTTAGGATTACTTCAGGATATCGAATGCAGTTAAACATACCCGACCATAGTAATACGCATCCCCTATCAGCAAAGCAGCATGTTCGTTGCCCTGCTCAGATGCTTTCCACCACAAGGAATGTGCACGTTGATGCCTTTCGGCATCTGTACAAAGCCCAGATTCACCCATACACATACTACGTTCACCATATTTATCGAGAATCCAAGCAGCATTGCTTTGTGCAACCTCATAACCAAGTTCCGCCATTCTTGAATACAGAAGAAATGCCTTTCCAATATCACCTTTTAGATATGCCTCTAATGCCCATCTAGACAAGGAACTCCAAGGTCCACGCTCAGAAACTAGTTTATATAATGCTGTTGCCTAAAATGAAATGCACGAAACAACCATCAGACTCCAGCAAAGAGTTTTAGAAGTCAAAGGTTTTCCAAAGTAAGAAATGCACTGCCACAGTTGAGAATACGGAAAGGAGAAACAATTTAGGAAACGCTTGGGGGGAGGAGGGGGTAAGGGGGGGTAACACAAAAGCATTATTGAGTAATTAAGTGAGAGGCTAGGGGTTACCATCGGCAGATTCTTCTTCAGCCCCACACCAGTATGAAACATCTTTGCTAATTGGTAGAATGCTTTAGGTTGACCTGCATTAGCTGCCAGTGCAAAGTACTTGGTTGCTATTTTTAAGTCTCTCTTCACTCCAAGTCCCTTCAGATAAATCACCCCAAGGTTGTAAAAGCCACCAGGTTCTTCATTGTCGGCAGCTTTCTCAAAGTATTCTTTTGCCTGTGGCAAAAAAGTTATTTAGAGAGGAATACTCAGCAAGCCCGACTACTCTTGAAAACTAGTAAATAAATTATCATAAGAAAAACTTGAAAATCAAAGGAAAAAAAAGTATGATTAGCATATGATAAAAGAAAATAGTGAAGAACCACATGAAGATCCCGAAGGAAGGGAGCAATAGGAAATGAGAGAAATGAGGAAGCAGCAATGTGAGTCGATAAGAAAAGTCTACCTTGGTGTAGTTCTTTTTCTCTACTCCATAACCCTTAACATACAAATATCCCATGCCATTGTAAGCTGAATAAAGTTGTTGTCTTGATGCAAGCGTAAGCCATTCTAGAGCCTTAGTATAGTTCCGTTCAACCCCAGCACCTCTTGCATATATCTCTCCAAGAAGTTCCATTGACCGAGGCTCGCCTTTCTCTACTGCCTTGGAGAACCACCGCAATGCTTTCGAATAGTCACGCCTCACACCCCTCAAACCAAAGTAATAAAATATTCCAATTTTATACATGGCTCCAGCATTTCCCTTTTGGGCCTGGTATTCCAAAATCTGGAAATCTTCATCCTCCTCACCTCTGGACTTCCTCAGTGCCTCTTTATTTTCCTCCGCACCACTGTGAATTCTAATTGGTTCAATCACAGGAGAGTCCTTTGAGATGAGGAAACTATTCACTGCTACTTCTGCCAATTCAGCATACAGCTTAACAGCTTTCTCATGCATCTGCACCAAAACAAGTATGGATCAATGAGTGATTAGTTTGTTCCTTTGAGCAACAAGATCACCTTGATTAGATTACAAATTTAGCCATAAAAAATGAAGAAAATGGGGAACATTACATAAGCAGACAACAGCTATTCCCAAGTAATTTCATTTACATAATGGCGAAAATGATGCAGGCAAAGATATCCTGTGTTAACATGCACAGATAATATATGCATTTTCTTCTAAATGAGCCTTAATAATGGATAAAAACATCTGCTACAAGATAATGAGAAAAAATTATCAAATAAAAACAATAGATGGAAAATATATCTTTTACATTTGCAATGCCAACAGTTAGTTAATCAGAATTGGGAGGAAATGGCTCTGGAGCATAACATATTTATGATTGATCATTAAGAACTGTACACATATATTATCTTATTTCCTGAAAGAAAACTATTGCAAATACAACTGAATTTTCAGTCTACAAAAAGTACTTCAGAAGTATAGAGATCAAATAAAGGAACATACTTAATTACCAGAGATGGAAGGGGGGAGCGGACAAATACTCGCAAAGAAATTGCTTATTCAGACTTGAATCTAATGGAAAATAGTAAATAAAGAGTAATTTAATGGGAAAAAGGCGCACATACATATATATGTTCTACAACGGATAAGAAAAAATATATAAAAAATATTGGGCAGCAAAGAGAGTTGAACATTTGCTTCCCTTAAAAAAAATAAAATCAAAGTAAATGTAGCCAAAAAAAAAAACCATTACCTATGCAGAAGGCACCCACAACCAGGGTGTATGCATAAGTGTGGCAAGTGCCTTAGATGCTATATGCACTACGCAAGCCATAAAAAGGTTACTTCCTCAAACGAATGCATTTGTTCCTCAACTTAATACTCAACCTTCCAGCTGGTTATCCAAATGCACATCAACTAATTTAAGACAATGACCGACACATTCAATGCTAAAAGATGAGTTAAAAAAAACCTTTTACTTTTATTATTTATATGCATACTGATTTTTCAATTCAATATTTTTGTAGTTTTTGTTCTATTCAGTCTATGTTAAGAAGCATGGGCATATATATGCAGATATTCAGATACATATTCAACTTACAAAACCGTAGTCTGCAATTCTCAATTTCTCACTGAATTCAAGGCTCTCCATAATAATGATGAGCACAATTAGATCTATAAGGGGACCGATCACATCTAAAAAAAGGTATTGCTTTCTTTCAACAACCAAATTACTTTCCCTACACAATCGCTATCATTGCATCATAATCTATATAGCTCATTCCAATTTCTGTCAGAACAAAGCCTATTTGTTAAATAGCTGATCCTTCGAACCCACGAAGTAAATCCAACTAAATTTATTATTTTCCCCAATTTCTACTTCTAAATGGCCTTCTCATGAATACAAAAGTAACTTCATTTCATCAAGCAGCATCATCAAGTTCCCACATATATTATGAACATACTTGATCAAATCTGGGAAAAAAAAGGATTGTACTTTCACACCAGATGAAATCCAAATTCGTTTCTTATGAAAACGACAACAGTCCAAAACCATAGCATTTTCAGCAACTTTCCAACCTCAAATGAACGCAGCAGATTTACAAACAATATCATGAGAAATGTATTCAATATTCATATCACTTCCTAGAACAACAATGACCTTAACGATACATGGCAGAAAAGAAGTGGCAGAACAATAAACCATATTCCAGATCAAATTACGCAAACAATGTAATCTAAGAACTTGACCTAAACGAAAATGTTAGAGAATAGTAGTAAAAGAACTTACTTCTTGGCGATAGTTAGTATAAGCAAGGGCCATCTTCGACTGCATATTTCCACCCTGCGCCGCGAAATAGTGATTCAAAAACGCCCTCCCCTCGCTCTTCTCCCTCCCAATTCCCATACCATACAAAAAACCTACTACTGATTGGCCATGCGGCTGACCCATTGCTGCCGCAGCCTCAAAATCGGCCACGGCCTCCTCCATAACCCTAAATTCCCCTCTACTCGACGCTTCAACCATCTTCCTTACCCCATTGTAATAAATCAACTCCCCATCATCATTTGAATTAGGGCTTTTGAAATTCGGATCCGGTTCGAACAACGGGGACCAGGATCCGGGGTCCAGAACATAGTCAGGCTTCGATTCAGAGTCCGGAAAGTCATCGAAATCGGCGACGTCGTCGGTCGGAGACGGGTGATTTGGTGCCGCGGCGGAGTCGGAGAGGTCGTCCTGGGAGAGGACGAGTACGAAGGGTCGAGAAAGAACGGTTCGTGGTATGAGGGAGAGAATGAGTAGAGCGCAGCTCAGATGGTGAACTTTCCGGTGGAGCATTTCCCTCGGGTCTACGGCGACTCTTTCGGAATCCGTTTTTAGTTCCGTGGAATAGCCACGGCAGAGCTTTATGAATAGTTTATATATATATATATATCTATCTATATTGTATGCGATTCATTCGCCACGTCAAGGCTAAGCATGCCCACCATTCACAACTTGCCACATCACCGAACTTGGACTTAGCATATATTTGCTTTCGAATATTTAAAAAATTTATGTGTAAAAAGCAAATTATGTTGCGAGACGGAGGGAATAATATTTTGTAACGAATGTTATATATATTATATTAATCCGAATGAACAAACTGTTTGTGCTCCAAACAATTTAGCTGTATTTTTGGGATAAGTAAGTTTTGTTTAAATTTTGGAAGTTTTACGTGTAAGGATTATATTACTAATGTAAATGTGTAATGTAATAAATAGAATTTATTTTTAAATTAAAATAAAAGTTTATGAAATAAAAAATACTTACTTCTTATTTTATTCTCTTTTTACTTGGCACGAAATTTTTAAAAAGTAAATAAATTTTTTATAATAAAAAAATATATTCATTTTTTAATTAAAAAACAAGAATAAAAAATGATTTTTTTTTTTTCATCTACATCAACATGGAGTCAGGTAATTCAATATTGATGAATGTATGAAACTCTTTGATAAAAAATCAACCACAACAAATATATCATACTATTGTACACTATGTAGTATAATATAGCATGTGTATTCGGTGGATGCGAGGTGACTTCTTATATGTCATTACTTTTATTTTCTTATGCCTATAAATATGTACGAGACACGTGAACTAAATATATAATTTCATTCATTATCAAATCACTCCATGATCTATTTCTTCAATCTTCTCTCTCAATCTATCATTTCTATTCATACATTACGGGTGTGTTTGTTTGAGGGATTTGTTTGGATTTTCACTATTCATCCTATTTTTTCCCCCCAAAAATATCAAATCAAACACCTATTTTTCATTTTTTATATTATACTAAAAATCAATTTTACATTCAAAACATCACATCAACATCTATTTATATCACATCATACAACTATTCAAATTCAAAATTTTTACTATTCAAATCCCAACTCAAAATCCAAACCCTCAAACAAACACACCCGTAACATATATAATTGTGCAATTGCAAAAGTGTCATCATTGTCCTATGGCTTGTATTATGTCAAAATAAGAGCCGTTGAAACATATGTTGTAAACTTGAAGTCTATGCAATTAAATGAATTTTTTATTTGGCACAATTGTCTCGGGCATCCTGGTAATACTATAATGACGCAAATAATTGAAAACTTCATTGACCATTCATTGAAAGATCGAAAGATCTTGAATTCGAATGAGTTCGCATGTGCTGCATACTCACAAGACAAATTAATAATCAGGCTATCACCAACCAAAGTTGGGGCTGAATCTCAATAATTTCTAAAAAGAATCGAGTGTGATATATGTGGACTTGTAGATCCATCATGAGGTCATTTAAATATTTCATAGTGCTTATTGATGCATCAACGAGATAGTCACACGTATGTTTACAATCTACGCGTAATTTAGCGTTTGCAAAGTTACTTGCACAAATAATTAAATTGTGAGCATACTTTCCTGGTTATCCAATAAAGAAATTTCGTCTCAATAATGCTAGTAAATATTTATCACAAATATTTGACAATTATTGCATAACTTTGGGAATAATTGTTAAACATTTGTTCCTTATAAAAAATGGTCTAGCAGAATTCTTTTATTAAAAGGTTGTAATTAATTTTCAAACCATTATTGATGAAATCCAAACTTCTCTCGTTTCTACTTGGTGCATGCAATATTACATGCAACAACACCTGTGCGAATCAGAATGACAAACTATCATAAATACTCCCCAACACAATTAGTGTTTGGAAAATAGCCCAATATTTCTCATTTGAGGATTTTTTATGTGCTATTTACGTGCCGATTGGACCACCTCAACGAACAAAAATAAGCCCCTAACGTTGTTTGAGAATTTATGTTGGGTATAAACCTCTGTCGATAATTAAATACCTCGAACCACTGACGGGTGATCTGTTTACCACGTGATTCACAGACTATCATTTTGACGAAACAAATTTCCCGACATTAGGGAGAGAACAAAATCAACTGAAAAAAGAAATCTCTTGGAAAATACCTATGACTTTCCTGGATCTTTGTTCACAACAATGTGAATTATAAGTACAAAGAATTATAAACTTGCAACAAATTTCAAATAAGTTACTGGACGCATTTAATGACTCCAGTAGAGTCACCAGGTTATATATTCCTACAGCAAAAGCACCGGCGAAGATAAATATCCCAGAAGGAGAAATGAAAAGTGCCAATGAATTTCTGCACTCTTGAAGCATGGCAGGTCTGTGGATTCCAAGGATAAAAATCTCGGAAAAAAATGGTATCGATTAATGATTCAATTCCTCAAATAATTTGTAATGATAATGAACAAATCCTCGAAGAGGATGCTTTTGAAGAGCCTACCTTAGAAGAAAATAAAGTTATTGAGAATTTAATTAACTTTATCGCTACAAAAAAAAAGTTGAAACCGAAAGGAAAATAATCATTGATAATGCTTTTGCATATAATGTGGCACTTGATTAATGGTAATGACGAGGATTCCAAACCAATATCAGTGGATGAATGTCGAAAAAGAAACGATTGACCAAAATAAAAATATGTGATCCAGTCTGAATTAAACTCACTGACCAAAGGAAATATCTTTGGACCCATAATTCAAACACCAAAATGTGTTAAGCCAGTTAGGTGCAAATGGGTATTTGTGGAAAAAAATAAATGAAGATAATGAAATTATTCGATACAAAGCGAGACTTGTAGCCCAAGGATTCTTACAAAGACCTGTGGTTGATTATGATAAAACATACTCTCCAGTTATGGATAGTATTACATTTAGATACATTATAAGCCTAACAGTGCATGAAAATCTTGATATGCGCCTTATGAATATAGTCATTGCCTACTTGTATAGCTCACTAGAGAATGATATTTATATGAAAAATTCTGAATGATATGACATGCCTAAAGCATGCAAATCAAATCAAATCCCAGATAATATTTTTTTATAAAAGTACAAAAGTCTCTAAATTGACTTAAATAGTCTGGACGCATGTGGTATAATCGTCTCACTAAGTGTTTAACAAAATAAGGTTATACGAACGATCCAATATGTCCACGTGTTTTTATATATAAAAAAAAGGTCAAAATTTGTGATTATTGCAGTATATGTTGATGATCTCAATATCATTGGAACTTCTGAAGAGCTTCAATTAGCCATGGAATATTGAAAAGGGAATTTAAGTTCAAAGACTTTAGAAAGATAAAGTTTTGCCTGCAAATTGAATATGTGGATAATGAAATATTTATTCACCAAACTGCTTATACCCATAAGGTATTGAAGAGATTTTATATGGATAAAACACATTCATTTAGTATCCCAATGATCGTTAGGTCACTTGATCCTAACAAGGAACTAGTTATACCAAAAGAAGACGATGGAAAAATAATTGGTCCTGAAGTACCATATCTCAGTACAATAGGTACACTCATGTACCTAGCAAATAGCACAATGCCAAATATTGCATTTTAAGTAAATTTATTAGTCAGATTTAGTTCATCTTCTACTAAACGACATTAGAATAGGGTTACGCATGTTTTGCGTTATCTTCAAAGGACAAATGATTTCAGTTTATTATACCAGAATAATTCTCAACACTAATTATTAGGCTATGCCGATGATTGATATTTGTCTAATCTGCACAAAACAAAATTGCAAACCGGCTACATATTTACATATGGTGATACTGGGATCTTCTATAGATCTACCAAACAGACAATAACTGTCACATTATCAAATCATGTCGAAGTATTGGATATCCATAGAACAGTTGAAAAGGTATTTGGTTGAGTTCAATGACCCTTCTTTTTTTTTTTTTTTTTTTTTTTAAATGTGGGTTATTGTTTGAAAATAAAAATTCCTCAACAATCATATATGAAGACAACGCAACTTGCATTGCCAATTAAAACGTGAATATATTAAATAAGATAGAATAAAACATATTTAATCAAATAAAACATATTTCATCAATTTTTTTCTTTACTCACGACCTTCAAAAGAATGATGAAATCGATGTGCAATAAATCCAATCATCTAAATATTTTATAGATTTATTAGCCAAAGCCCTACTGACAATATTCAACAAATTAGTAAAATGAATTGGAATGTGCCGGCTTAAAGATATCAAGTAAAGTCCAAATAAAAAATGGTGTACTCTTTTTTCTTCATTATGATTTTTTTCTTACATAGTTTTTTAATAGTATGATTTTAATGAGACACATTCTTTGTACAAAAAACTCCAAAGGAAACTATTGTAAACTACGTAATATATACATAAATATGGTGTATGTATTCGGTTGATGCATCATGACTCCTTATATTATTACATCATCACCTGTATTTTCCTATGCCTATAAATATGAATGAGATGTAAAATTTCATTCCTTATCAAATCACCCCACATCCCATTTATTCAATCTTCTCTCTCGGCCTAGCACTTCTATTCATACATTATATATATATATCATTAATATATATATACACTTGCATATATAATATAATATAATACCCTCGTATTCATATCTATACATATCATACATGTATACATATAAGAGAAAATTGTAAAAAATATCCTACACGTATACTTCATTATCACTTTTGTCCTGTATTTATCTCTCTGTCAAAATATATCCCACATGTTTTTAAAAGTCGCTATTTCTATCATTTGACTGCGCGTGGCCGCGCGTGATTGCGCGTAAGGGCGCGTGGTGCCCAATTTTTACGATTCAGCGATTCGATCTGTGAATTTCACGCGCGAGAAAATGACATAAATAACGACTTTTGTAAACATGTGAGATATATTTTGCCAGGGAGATAAATACAGGACAAAAGTGATAATAGAGTATAAGTGTGAGATATTTTTTACAATTTACTCATATACATATAATGTATATCTATTTGTACATGATATACTATATATATTATATTTTTATATATATACAAAATAGTGATTATCGGTTAGGAATAATTAATATTCCTACGTATTATATCTATAATAATATTTACAATACATACGACACTTTTAGAAGATAAAGTATAATGTCGATCTAAAAAGACACATTACCTTATGATATAAGTTAATATGTGACAATATATATATATATATATATATTCATATCATCATATGAATGGTATGACGGTGCTTGCAGAAGTCCTTTATAACTCCCCAGACATAAAATTCTAGAAAACAGCTCGTACCTCTCATAAACCTCCCGCCAAATTCTAAGATTCAACAACGAAGAGGATATTTTTCATGCCCACTTGGCACCTAATTAAAATTAAAATTTAAATTGTAGTAGTAAATCCATAGAAAGGATCGTCACTTCCATAGACATTTTTCACATCCATGTAAAAGTTTAGATTTATTCTACTAAATTTTGTTCCTAAAAAAATCGTCAGAGCACGTTTCGACCTTTTTTTGAATAGGAATATTTGGATCTGATTCAATTTGACGACCTATAACAAGTGATATTAAAAAACAATGCTATTATATATATATATATATATATATAGCAGCAACATTATTTATTGTGTCATTAAGCTTTACCAGCAGAGCCAAAGAGAAGCATCTTCTCAGCAGCTACAGTTTTCATGGCATCCTTGGAAGATGACATGACATGGACGAGATCTTTCTGAACCGTCGCCGTCAATGAATCCAAGTAAGCCTTGCGAACCTCTGTATTCACATTGAATTTCCGAACGCCCCTCTTAACGCATTCCTGTTTTCCCCAACAGACAACCAGTTATTAGTAGCTATGCCAAGTTCATCTCATGTTAGAAGCAACCTTATGAAATAAGCCTTTGTTAAGAGTGATAAGAAAATATGGCGATGGCATTTCTTAGTTAATCTTTGGGTGAATGAAAACTGTCTATAGAAATTTGACATAGTTGCATTTTGATGTATAACTGATCCTGTTGTGTGGAAATAAAAACTAGAAATTTTAATCCTCTTTGAACTAATGAAATGAAGTTACCTCAATAGTCTCTCTTGGTAAGCCAGAAGCGCCGTGAAGAACAAGGTGGACATCTTTTTGTGACGTCAAATCGTAAAGATCCTGAGAAATCAGAAAAACAATTAATTATCATTTGATCCTTGCTGTAAAAGTGCAATACATCACAAGCTTAATTAAAAAATAAAGGAATACAACGAGAACTATAAATGAATCGGAAGTGACTAAAGCATAGCACAAGTTGATACTGCAACTGGCAATATTCAACATATACGATTACAACTATTTTATCATCAAATAAATGATTGTAACCATCAGAAATATTTGACAAATCTATATACGCCACACCAACAACACATTTCTTGTACGCTGGAAATTTAGAGGCAAGAGGAACCCAATGTTGTCCAAAGCCACGAACTAGTATACTATTTAGGAAAATCGTAGACTTGCTACAAAAGAACCTAAAAGTTATGCCCAAGTGTTAAGCCAAAGTGAAATTATGAATTTGCATAATGTCATAAACACATAATTTATGCTCAACCATAGGCCAAATCAAATTTCGCATACTTATTTATTTATTTAATTTTTTTGCGCGCGTGCACACACACACACACACACAGATATATATATATATATATATAAATATGCATAATTTCTTAACAGGAATGGCAAGACTATGCAGCGAACAAGAATATGTGAAATTAAGTACTTAACCTTAAGCAAATCAAGTCTGATATTTGGGCCACTTGCAGGGTATTTTCCATGAACGTTTCCAACACAAACAGCCAAAGCATCTATCCCCGTAGAATCTATGAATTCAATCGCCTGAAACAGAGAGTAGGAAGGGGTTATGACAAGAACATTAACGCTCATTCAAAAAGCTATAGTAATATATATATATATATATATCTTGATTTCCTTTCTCTAGAAAATAGACCCAATGAACTAAAAAATTAAAAAAAATAATATAATAATAACAGATAAAAGGGTTCTCCTATGGAGAAAATATTGTAAACAACCTTACGTGTATATACATATATATATTTCGAATAATGCAATTTACCTCGTGATTTTCAAGGCTATGTGAATATTATTTACTTCACACATGAATTATTTATTTATTTATATATTTTGAATCTATCATATTTAATAGAGAAATGTCATATAATATACTTGTCATTTCTTACGTCCCTTAGGATGTGTGGGAGTCGAACCTGGTTAACATCAGTTAGTCGTGCTTCATAATCAGCTACAGTTAAGTCGTCTTCTGTTCCAGCCAATCTTCCCAACTCTGCCTCTACCATTATATTGTTTTTGTGTGCCAAGATGGAAATATACTTTGTGTAGGCAATATTTTCCTTGAAGGGCAAGTGGGAACCGTCAGCCATGACTGAATCAAAGCCCTGCCATTGATTAATTTACACAAACACAGATAACGTCACATGGAAATTGTTGATGTAATTTTTCAACAAAAATAAAGTAAAATTCAAAGATATAGAAAATATCCTTAAACTTGATTAATTAGTGCCTGAGATTAGGAATCTCTAAACACTGTATGGTACAGAAAATAAACTGGAAAATAAAAGACTGAAATTTAAAGTGGTGATCCCCAAATCTGACTTTGCTTTGTTGAAGTTGATTGAAGATGCCTTTTCTGACGGATTTGAATCCTTTAAATAGCCTTTCAGAGAAAACGGTTTGAACCGCCGTCTGGTCGGTTACAGCAACCGCTGTCAACCGACCACCAATTTCTCCTCTATTGACACGTATTACAACTTCCTTCAACCGTTCCCACCAGTCACAGAACTCAGACCTGCCTCTTACCCGACCTGCCTGTCCACTACCAAATTTCTTTTGCCCGACTTCGTCCTTCGCCCGACCTGCTTCTTCGCCCGACCTCACTTGGGCCGACCTCCGCATCAGCCGCCCTCCGTCTTTGACCGAAGACCTCCGCGTCTATCCGTACCTCTTCCTTGCCCGACCTTCCTCTTGACAGACCTCCGCGTCTGCCCGACCTTCCTCTTGACAGACCTCCGCGTCTGCCCGACTTTCCTCTTGACAGACCTCCGCGTCTGCCCGACTTCGCCTTCCATCCGATCTACGGTTTACCCGACTTGGGTACACCTTTTTTTTTAGACTCCGCCCGACCTTTCTTCCTTTCCCCGACCTTTATTCTGCCCGACCTCCAGACCTTTTGGCTTTCATTCAGACCCTACCCAAAATCCTACTGCCACTTACTATTATTATTATTTTTTGTGCTTAACAGAAATAATAATGGGGAACTATTTGCTGCTCTACATTACTTATCTCTACCCATGATGAAATGTGGCAAAAAGAAAGTACAGAAACAGATTGGAAGTAGAACAGAAACCATACCAGCTCCAGAATTTCCAGAAGTTCTTGCTTTGAGTTTCCATGGTCAAAGTGCACGGCAATAGGGACCTGTAATCCGTAATGATGGATTTAGGCCCGAAAGAAAGCCAATGCAATGATAAACTACAAGTTGAATTCTTCAAAGGCCTTATTTATATCTAATCTTTCAACATTTACAGATTAGGTAGTTGTAATACAGTTTCCCAGGGAAATTAAAGTTATTAATGAGACAAACCGAGCTGAACATGTGTTTGTTAGACGACGGAACTGAACTGAAGATATTGTTTGAATTTGATTCGTTAATTTTTATTTTTTTTGTATTTTCAATTCAGTTCAAGTTAACTCATGGAATAATTTTCTAATTTAAGATTAAACTAAAGTTTGATTTATATCATTAATTAATAATAAAATAAAACATTCTTATTTTTTTATCAATCATTTTTCTCTAGAAATGAAAATAAGTGTACCAAACATATATCCATAAATTATGAGGAGTGTTGAACATTTACAAACAACGCTCAAGTTTGTTCGTGACCATAATGAGATGAAAGTTTTGTTTATGTTTGTTTCATTTAGTTTATTTACAGAGTTGAAATGAACCGTATCATGTTGAGCTCATGGATAGTTCGATTGTTTCACGGATCTAATAGAAACTAATTCAACATTATAACAGATATGGTATCACATAGGATTAGTGAATAATATGTCAATGGCTATGGGAATACTACCGGAAAGGAATAAAATGTAGATATATAGAAAATGTACTAGGCAGTTAGTGACGCTAAAATTTATGGCTCTAGGTCCATAGGTTCCATAGCTAAAGATTACTTAATCTAAACTTCTAACGAAAAATGCCCTTAGAATCAGTTATCTACCACACAGTCCACATACAAGGATTCATATGTAATGTGTGTGTGTGTGTGTGTTAATATGCGTTTCCAAATTCCAAGTGCAACTTACCCTCGCTTGTTTTGCAGCAGAGACACAACAGGCTACCAATGGTATTCCTCCTTGCTTGAAAGCACCAGGATGGATCTGGAAACATAGAAAAGGAAATCATCATATTATCAAACTGTCCTATCAATTTAAATTATTGTCAACTCGAGGTCAAATAAGGAGCAGAGTTGAAACATTTGCAAATTATTTCAGAATCTTAATCTTAAATATAACAACATGAGATCATAATTAACACGAAGGTAGGAGAGGATAAGTGGGCAGAGGCGAGGCAGTGATGTCTGTGTTCAAATTCCATTTACAGTTAAATAGTTTGGTATAACTAGTAGCAGATAACCCCAAAGTCAGAAATACAGGCTTGATGGGCTTCTTAGCTCAAGAGTCAAGCTATTAAATTAACTAGATTTTATAAAAGGAAGAAAACCAGGAGCAGAAATGGTAGCGTAAGCTCCAATGCCAAGGTTCATTAGCTCCATTGTTGCAATAAGGTAGGGGTTGTTCTGGGGTACAGACATGGTAGATAATCTTCTTTCATGTCGTGTTCACAAAGAAGTTCCAGAGAGGAAGGAAAGCTTTGTTGATGAGAAAAGGAAGTTAACATCAACTCTAAAACTTCCTGCCCATTCCCATCGTCTCAATTCATTCAAGGCAGGGGCAAACTAACCCTAATTGAGAGATCTACAAAACATATTATGGCCTTGACTTTGAATATATATGCTATAGTGTTTGATTAATTAGTTAGTCTGGGTAATTGGTATGAGGAGCAGAATGCTGATTGCGTAATCCCTGCCGCGGAAATCTCTCTCAGTTAGTTAATGAAGTATACACACAGCTGCACAACAAATCGAAAACCTAAATTTCAATTATGTGATACTTCAGCTTAGAATTCTGAAAGCATATATCACAGCTGATTAGATGAAACCGTACTGAATCTGAAAGTACACTTTCAACTATTAAAATAAGTGAAATCATCAAATTTTAAGACCTGCAAAATAGCAGGGCTTCGTTGCTCCTCTGCTGCAGAAACCACTGCCTCAACTCCTTCTAAATTATAAACATTAAATGCTCCAACAGCATATCCACCCTTTTCTGCATTCTTTTTTTATGAAATGATTGTCAGTGTTTTATAGAGATAAATCTGAACTACTATAGATGGAAAGATCTTACAAGAAGAAGTTCCTTCGTTGAAAGCCTGCCTGGATGTGCCCAGCGCTTTACCACTTCGGCGACAGCTTTGCTGTCACCAACATTTCCTGAGAGTGTTCTTTTTATAATGTCAATGATGAAAGATTAATCCTAGAATAGGAGTTGATGGTGTGATGTATAAATGTCACCTGGAAAAACTATGTAGGGTACGTCTGGATGCCTGCTTTCAGGACCTAGTTGCCATAATGGCACCCCAGCAAGAGCCTGCCCCACAATTTTGGCTCGTTGTGCTTCTAGAGCTTTTGTTGCAATGTCCGAGGATGTAATTCCACCCTATTTAAAAAGTGTTTGTTACAGTCAATTCATAACAAATGCTGTATTGGCAGTAGAAGTTAACAACATCATAAACACATTCGGGTTAATGGAGACTTTTCATCATCTCAAATTCAATAACTTGGTAAAAGTGAATATGATACATTAAGAAGTATGAAAAAGATATAGCTTTGTCCAGTCTAAGTTGCTCCCGAGAATAAAATATTGCAAAATCTAAGTTAAGATCAATATTGTATCATCCCAATAATATATTAAATTCAAACAAAGCTGATACATATATATATATATATAACTAGAATAAATAAGAAATAAAAAACCTAAAATTTATCATCATTACAAGGTCAATCTCATGAAAAATGAGATAATAATAATAATAAATCAATGAAAATGCCTATCCCTTCAATTATGCTAATCCATTGTATAAAATGGTATATGCTTACACAAACAATCTTCAATTGTTAGTCAACAAACAATTTTGCAGGACCTCTTCCCTGGATCTGTCAATAGTGATTCTAAAAATGCCCTCAGTTGGATACACGATGCTGCTCCTCTTTGGAACCTTTATCTATAGATCATTAAGTTTCAGCTCCTCATTGTCAGACTCATATACTGTGATCATATATCTCTTTACTCCAATGGCTTAACTGACTTTGTTGCGAAACGCAGGCTTCCAGTCTCCTTTATCTTTCTATTTGGTTGCAATTATAGTAGTTTAGGTGTGAGTTCTTAGGATATCTATTGGTTCTCCTATGTTCTAGTAATTCCTTATATAATTCCCATTTCTTTCGAGGGAAAAAAGAAAAAGAACTTCAATAGTTTAGATGCCCTTAAGCATGAACTATAATGTCTATGAGAAAGAATAAACCATAAAAAATATAAGGTGACAGAGTATACCCATTAACCTAGAAAGGAATGAAAACAACAAAAAATGCACACAGAGGCAAGCATTTCTTGAGGTATAAGAGAATGACAAAGAATGAATAACGACAAAAGCAAAACCCTATTTCCCAAGTTCAAGAATAGTAGTGTAAGATGAAGGACATAAATGTATAAAGGCAAACAACAGTAAAACTGAGAATGCCTAATAATCCTCTACCCAGCATAACCAGAAAAAACAAGGACCAGAGCAAAGAAGCCAATGGTTGACTAAATGTATCTGGAACATTTCGAGAATGTATGCAAGAAATGTTTGGAGCAAACTCACAGCCTTCAACCAGCAAATAACTACCTTTGCAAGGATGTACCGTGGTCTCGTAGTTATCCTGCGTACTATCTCCACAAGTGCAGAGCTTACTTTACCATTGATCTCCAAGCTTTCAGAACCAGCTGTTCAACACAGTTGGTTATAAGGAGAATTTAGACATGTACCGTAATTAATTTTGCAACTGAGTGGATAGAAACTGGAGAAGAACTTGAAAGAAGCAGATGATCTTTCAGGTTACAAAATATATGAATGAAGAATAAGAATGAATGACATACTTTTTCCTACAACAAGTTGTCGACTGGTCATTACAAGAGTGTCTTTGCCACTTCTTAGGTACACATCAGCAATATCAGCTGTATAATTGATCTCGTCCTCTCTTTCGTCGACTGATTTCATTGCAACTTTATCAACAGAAACCTGTAAATATATGAGGGAGTTTAAAGGGGAGAATTTCTGATTGAATCTCACCACATATCACTGCACCTTTCTCCATTTCTAGTATTCAAATTTCAGCACTTAATTAATGTATAATCCACAAAATTATTACGTACCTCAATCCTTTTCAAGGCATGACCCCTTTGCAGCAGTAGTTCTTCAATCTACAAGACAGCAAAAGATTAATCGAATCATACTAAAACATGACATTTTCAATAGACAATGTTACTCCAGTAACTTAAACCTGCTTTGTTGTTTTCGGAACATAGGAGCCCACAACTATAAGCCCACCAGTCCTTTCCTTGGATATCCCAAGATCACCAGGCAACAGTGGAGGTTTTGGAATAATTCCAACACGAGCAGAAACAAAACTAGCCGCAGTACGGCATAAGAAACTCTTTCCCAGCAGTTCTGCCTGAAAAGTGATCGCAAAAGCAGGATGATAGAAAAAGCAGCCTTTTATAATTATTGCAAATATAGCTGCAATTAGCTTTTGAGAGAATAGCTAAAAATCAAAAGACCAACCTGAATCATTCCTGCTGCAAACACAGACATGTCCCTATCACTAGCAGCATTCACTATACATGTAGATCCCTGTTTCAATTAGCAATTCAGAAACATGATAACTGGACAAACATGGCAAATCAATTATCTGCATTTTTCATCTCGTACAGATAGAGATTGAGAACATATTAGACAACATTATTAGTACGTCAGATATTATCCTATCCTGAAAACGCTTATTTGTACCTTTTTCAAACTGCATAGGCGTTGACAAACAGCCTCAGGTCCACCCCTCCTGAGTAGTTCGATGGAAATGGATGCAACATCGCATGCTTTGACACGACCTCGAGTCTTCTCCTCCACCCACTGAAATTTGTGCCAAGTTTCTTTGTAAATATTACTTAAGGTAAGATTGGAGATTTTGGTTTGGACAAAACTTATGCCAAATGCTAGACCTCTTTTAGATTAGAAGATTTATAACCAAACGACGCATCTTTAGCAAATTCGGTTTCACCTGCAGGGATAAGCCTGCACACGTAAAGCTCTTTAGTCTTTAGCCAATGCTTTTCATTTGGCAATGTTAAGCACAGAATTGAAAGAATAATACCTTTCAGAGTCTGCCACATAGTGGATATCCCCAACAGTGTACCGTCCTCCTTGTAGAAAGAAAGGGCAAAGTATCCACAAATCAACCTCACCAATTACAGAAATAGCAGCATCTGCTTCCTAAACATATCAAGGGTATGGACATTAACCACTTTGAGAAAATAGTTAAAAAAGGTTACTGTTTTTTGTGTTCGAGATCTTGCCTCAGGGAAATGACCTCTCAATGTTGAATCCCCCCTCAGAACTACAGTGTACTGAGAGTTGTCAACTGTCTTTGCTGCATTAGACAGATTACTGCAGATCTCTGTTATTAGGTCAGTGGCCTGTATCAAGGAAACTCCACTAAGTAACCACACAAATGTGTGAACACAATGGCTCATCCAAGAAAAGCTGCAATTCCATCCCTTTACAAGAATTTAAAGTGAAAGTAGTTTGATCATTTTACCTTCTCAGAACTTACGGACCGTGAATTTGTCAAAATGAAAAAGCATTTAGGTCTTTTGCTGAACTGTTCAACAAGTGACGGAATGCTCCTGAAATTAAAGCAGAAACGAAAGAATGGATATAATTTTTGACACTATAGCTTACACATATTTGTCACAACTCCCAGAAATTTTGAAATTCTATAGTGCTGGAAATCACTTGGTATTAGGCATAGCACATAATTCTATATCAGATTTAATATTACTTATGTAACAACATGTGGTAACAATAACTTGTATACATATGATTATGGGATTCTCTGTCAATCAATTTTAAGCGTATTTACTCAGGCAATGAAATGCCAACTCCTCTGTATATTTAGAGGAATTCTCATATACTATGAATGCCAATCTAATAAAATATGCAGACTTTAAAAGCATAAAAAAGTACAGATAAGATAATTTAAATTTTAATTGTGCTTAGCCTCTAACGTAGCGGGAGAAGTCCCAATATCCCATAATTTCTTCTCTGTTTTTTATTTTTTATTTTTTACAGGTCAGCAGTTTCTGGATATCTTATGTAGAATCTCTAACACTAATCTCAGACAAACCATAATAATTACTTTTTGCAGCCAACAACATCAGAATATTGCCATAACATGGTGTAACTGATTCTGCCATCACAGACATTGTTGTTCACTAGATTTTTGTAAAAAATAAACATATAACACACAAGGCTAATCTTGACTCACCATTCTGTCAATACATCAATGTCATGAACTGTTTGAGTTCCAGTTGGATCATCATCCAAAACAACCAATGTTTTCAAGTTTTTCTGAGTGAGGTTAATGATATCCTCAATAGGATCTGTTGGCCACTCAGGTGGAAGCGATTGAAGGACAGATTCTTTACTCAAGGCATGGAGCTTTCCTTCAACTTTGACTCCTGTTAGTGTCTCATAAACCTGTAAATTAAAGGGCAGTATAGGGCAAGGGACAATAAGGTCAACAGACTTTCCTATTGGTCTGTAATAATCAGTTAAAATTTCAAATACTCCAGAAGGTAATTTCACTCCAAGCTTGATACAATTCCAGAAAACAATTGTTTGAACATATGTAGTTAAACCTTTACTACAGCAGAATCATCTATCCGGCCCCAACCAGCAGCAGAACCTGTCCATGAACCATTTGATGTTATATTGAGGCATTAACTTTGATATAACAAGGGGCACCATTTTTACTTTCTGAATTTATTTTTTCTACAACAGCTACACAGTCCAAGACACATGTACTCTGCACTCTGACATGTCAGAAGAAATAAATGAAAAATAAGAATGGTACATGTTTTTTAAAATAAACTATTTATTTTTTCATGCAAATGGGCACACTCAATAAGCAGTTACATAAATAATTCAACAAGTGATTACATTAGGACCAAAGGGACTTCATTTTCATCAGGATCTAATTACACTAACTCAGTTTAATAACACAGCAGGGAGGGTAGACCACAAAAAGTTAGTCGTTCAATGTGGAAGTAAGAGTAAACAACCTTCAGCCTGGGGGAAATCCAGAGAAAACAAGAAATATCATTCCCAATTAGGCTGCTTCGACGACGAAGTATTCAGTGACTTAATGCTTACTTTCTTTGACAAGTCAATTATCAAGTGATGTTAGATACATTGAAATGGTGTAGAAATGATTATCAGATATTTATTGAACTGCATAAAAGTGAACACCAAAAATAAAAGTATTTACAATAGAAATGTTAATAACCAAATGAAACCCTATCCTTAAAGATTGAATCCTTATTAAAGAGAATCTTAACAATAGTGGAAATTGCACTAGAAACTATACGAAAATATTATTGGGAAAGGATGTAGATAAAAAATTGCGAGTCTACCCACCTGACACGAACAATTGATGTGCAGCATTAGACACATGAAGTGGCACCTTGCGTGATGAGCATTCACGAGAAACAATGCCCTAACAAAGCGAAATAATAATGAGAACTTGCTTGCATATTGTATTTAATTCCTCCTAATTAAAAAGAGGGGAAAAAATGATATAGAATTTGGTACTATAGCCTTACCAAATCTTTGACAAAGATATCAAGTGCAGATAATGGCGTATAATCATTCTCCACCATATGTGGACCACGATTCTCAAACATCCTGAGGTAGAGAGTACTTGGATATAGTTTAAACTGTAATGAACTTCAATTGCTATAAAAATCTCAAATGAGTAATGACATGCCTCAAATAAAATGAAAGATGACAGAGATGAGCCTCTATCTAAAAAATGGATGTACAATGAGTTCATCAGGATTCAAAATAAAATCAAAGGGAGCTTGGAAACACAAGCAATGAGAAATGATAGTAGCTCGTTGGTTTATAGGTGTTATCATATGCAGTCCAAAGAGTTTAGGTAATACTTTTAAAATGACTCTCGACTATTCAGGAAGTATCGCGGCCTTGGCTTTCATAAGACCCGTGCATTCAAACTCTCCTCTACTACTTCAGCTAGGAATGGAGGAAGGGAGGCACGAGACCATAGGTATTGGCAGGTTCTCAGTGTGTTGTGGAGAAGGAAATGAATGGAAAGGTGGACACAAACCCGCTTAGAAGTGGATTCCCCTACCTATGACTGCACGTTAGGCCCAGTCCTGGTTTTGAAATGCCGATGAGCACGGGACTGGCTGAAATGAATGAACTACCCCGCTTGCCTGTACCCATTTTATGAAAAGCAATCTTGTACAAGAGCAGGGAAGAGGGAAAGAAAGTAAGCTGCAGAAAGGAGATTCCATCCTCATTCCGCTTATACATTTTGTGTGATTAAGCAATCCACCAAAATAGCATCATAGAAGACAGAGTAGTAGCCGAGACAGTTCAACTATTTCAGGATTCCATTGTGTAAATCAGTGAATAAACAATAAGGAGATTTAGTAGTAAAATAATTTAGCTACAATGGTTCATAAAATTTGAACACCATAACCGAACCTCAATCGAAAGAACCAAAACATTCATACTGATTTAGTTCTATAGAAAGGGAAACACTTGAGATAAAAGAGCCTTATAGCCAAGTAAAAAAGTCCTATGTTCATAGCTCACTTACCGAGATCATCGACAAAATTGTTTCTGCTTCTAGGAATGTGGTGAAAAGTGAAAGCTGGGAATCTAAAAATTATATGTTGCAACTTATTTATTTCAAAATTGAGCTTCAATGGGGTATCACTGCGAATCCATCTAAGGCACTTTTAGAATTCTATTCCACTGTAATTTTAGGATAAAGAGGATCTATTCTAGTATAAGATGGTTTTGGTAACTGGATGATGACAAGTATGTCTGCCTGATTTTAATCTGCAATGTCTATTTGTTTGGACATTAGTTATTTTCCACCGCCCCTTCCGTGGAATCAACAACTCTGTACTTGAGACATATTTTGGTGCTTAGATTGGGTGTGAGAAATTTCTTGAATGTTGTCAACCAAAAAGGAAGTATGTATGATCATGCCTGGATATTTTGTTCAATACCATTCCCTGACTAAGAGATAAGAAAAGATTCCATTCGAGGTCAGTCTCCAAATTACTGTATAAGGTTCATAGTAGGGAATAAAGCATCATTTCAGAATTTTATAGTAATATAATATTGTCAAATCTTTAAGACTTGGCCATGTTATTTGGTTTCCACATTAATTATGCTATTTTGGAAACTTCATAGATAGAGTTTAATTGAATAAAAAGAAAAACAGAGATATTTCTGCTAAAACTCTCCAGCCACAAGCTTCATTCTATTTATGACAACACCAAGAGAACCACAGTTCTTTGGGTGATTTCTTCTCTCATACGCCAACATGACATTCATGCCCTACTGTAATTGGTCAAAACTTATTCATCAATAATATATCATTCACACAGTTCTCTATCATTAAACATCAGTCAGAGCAAGCAATATCACTTTGCACTTTCACAATTAGGATTTCAGAAGATAAAATAGGAAATAGCATGTATAGTAGTTTAAACTTATTCTGACTTACTTCCCCCCAAAAAAAAAAAAAAAAAAATTCCAACATGAAAAACAGCAACAAAGGTGATAGCATGCAATGCATGCAATATGGCTACAACTAGAGTGTGTTGTTTGACTCACTTCATATGACAATCACATCAGGATCATGAAGATAAAAGTGCAGTATAAGTTGATAAGATAAAAGCAGATATAAGAGAATATTAGCCATTAAAAGATACTCCCTCCGTCCCACCACAGATGACCCCATTTCCTTTTTGGTACATCCCACAAAAGATGACCCCTTTCCATTTTTGGTAAGTTTATCAATTTTAAACTTACTTAACAATTATAAATCAATTTAATTAAACTTCTAACATCTTACACTTAGGACCCACTTAAAACCCCTTCATTTCTATCTCTCTCCTCAATTAACAAATATTTTTATCTACCTTTAAAAGTCCTCATTTTTTTATAAAACTAATTTATGGTAATGATAAATAAATAAATATATTTTTTTATTCATTTGTATTATATAAAATTTTATTATCTACAAAATGATATCTATATTGTATATATTTTATTGAGATATAATTCTAAAAATATTTAAAATACCAACAATACTACACATATAAAAAATAATAAAATATTATCTTAACTTATAATTAATAACTTAATAACCTACACTACCTAAAATACGGGTGTCCCTAACAAAAGGCTCCATCTTTCATGGGACGGAGGGAGTATTTTCAAAATTATTGCATTGCATTCCAAAATAATACTTACAGAAGTATGTAAGACATACCATGATGTTCCTGTGCTGTTTTTTATTACATCAAACAATACTTTGGTATTAAGACCCAGTCTAGCTCCAAATGCCATAGCTTCTGCTGCTGATGCTATATGCACCCCCGCAAGGAGTTGGTTGACCATTTTCACACCGCTAAAAAATGTCATATGGAACAAGTATATTGTCAATATAATACGATCACAAATAAAAATTATAAGAAACATTGGATATGACACTAGTATACATCCTACATACAACAGAATAAAATAAATAAATAAAATAATTAGATATTTATCCAGAATTAATCACATGAAAATCAGATGGAAAAAAAAAAGAAAAATGAAACTTCAATTTACCTTCCAGCTCCACAACCACCATTTATGATATAAAGCTTCTCACTCATTGCTGTATTAAAACCAATCAAATAATATCAATTATAAGAGATTATTAGACTTAAAAACTCAGAACCCATTGTTTTCTTTTCTTTTTTTTTTTTTTTTTTTTTTTTTTTTTAAACCTGTGAGTACTGAACCAGCATGCTCAAGAGCTTCATCTGAACCTGATGCCATTACCTGAAATAAATGTCAGTACTTTGTGTTGCTTTCAAGGATGAAAAAGGGAAATAATTAGGAGAATTCCATGATGACTATTCTCATTGATGCTCTAGGCACATGTAGAGTACAAGACATCAAACTAATTACAGAGATTGAATAGAAGCTAAATAAGGCACTGCTCTAGGAACTCAATAATTAGTCAATGCATAGTTGATCTGCCATAAAAGGTGGATACATTCCAACAGGAAATTTTCTATATTTTCTTCATATCAAGATACAAACAAAATTCAAGAATCTTACAGTCAGGGTTCCATTGGCAGCTCTTTGCACCCCACCTGAGACAGGAGCATCCACCAACTTCAAATGTTTTGACTCATCTGCACAAAATTAGCAGCATTCATAACGCAATAAATGTCTGAAGCAGAAAAGGCAAGCTGCTTTGAAAAATTAATGGGGTTTATGAAAAATATTTCGAGAGAGTTTTCTTGTAATAAATAAATTTTGAGGTAAATATATATGCAATCATAATAACCCTCTGAAGAAGTTACATCAATATACATAAGTACTCTAAATATTCACATTCCATAACAGAGTTTATGAAGTTATGTCACTACTATTCTTAGACATTGTTTAGCTTTCAAGTATTGCTTATTCTCTAATGATGTATGATAATGTAGACATAATGGATGTTTCTTCAAAGTGTTAAGTCATTAAGATTTGTCTGAAATTATGAGAAATAAAGTTAAAGAAACAGGGCTTTATTAATAAAACAATTACCTTCTGCCCATCTTTCTTGTCCCTTTTGGATGTTCAACAAAACAGCATTTCATTTATGTGGGGACATGATTTATGGTGCAAAAGTAAATTAAATTTCCTAATGGTGCACATATAGCTTTCAAAGTGATCTAAACAGCATTTCATTTCTGTGGAACTTGTATTTATGTGTGTTGCACGAGCCCGCATTGTACATAAAGATACAAGGGCGACAACCAGTATCGATGTGTAAATACCTCAAATAATCATTCAGATCTTTCTATATTTAATTGGTGACAAGTTGGCTAATCTAATTTTTTCCTCTATTTATTTAATAATTTAATTTTATACTTACCATGAAATCAGAACAATATAAATATAATAAAACAATGTAAGACCAAATAATAAACCAGGTAAACTTGCTTGCTGCTTTAAGTGAAAGAGGTAATTTTCACTTAGAAACCAAATCAATTTTCATTTCTTTCTATATATTGAATAGGATATCAAGAGAATATGCTGAACCTACTTTGCAATCTTTGTTCTAGCTGGCTGACAAATGCTGGAGAAACAGTGGAAGAAAGAACAATAGTAGCTCCAGATGGGAGGGCTGCAACATCAGAAACAGTCAGTCCTGTTCCTTGTTCATGTAAAAGTAAATAGAGACACTTACCAGACACTGCACCATTATCCCCATACAAAACGCTTTCAGCTTGGTATTCATTTGTAACCATTATAACCAGAACATCAACATCTGGAGATGATGAAATGTTAGCAGCATGCAACCCATGAGCACAAGAGGTTAGTAAGTGTCTAGTACAAGTTCATGAAATACCTAGATGAAATGATGTAGTAAACATTGCACTCAATAAAAAAGGTGTGTCCATGGAAATCCTTGAACTTCAAGGACACCGATATGGCATGCTAAAATTACATGTGATATTTGATCACCAGCACATTCAGTAGAAAAATCTAAGCAAAATACTGTACGAATTAAAATCGACAATGATGTAATATAAGACAGTTTCAATTTTGGTTTCTGTGTGTACAAAGAAGCTTAGTATGCCTAGGCATTTACGATCACTCTTTCTGCCTTAATACCATGTCTATTTAAGCTTAAACTCACTCATCAGAAGGTTGGACAAAGAGCAAGACATCATAAGAAATGTTGAAACCATGACAATAAACAAAATTGCCAATAGAGAAATGTTGCATGCATTTTAAAGTTTCTTCAACAAGAATAATACCTTTGGACGCCACTGCTGGGCTGCTTGCTGCAATACCACCTTGAATTTCAAATCGAGACAGCGTAGGTTTATACACCTACTCACAAAAGACAAATTACCATTACTAGAACAATTGATCTTTAGTCTTGGCTATAATCCAAGCTCACAGAAATTTCTATGGCAACGTGGCCAAGCCATTACAGAAAAAGGTCGGTCAAGCCATTATCAGTTCTTCAGATACAGTAGCACAGGGGAAATCGCAATGAGGCATATGATGTATATCCAGTCAGGTAGGTCATATTTATTCTCATCAAGGTCAATATTAAGAATGTTAAGGAGTTGAAGACTTACATCATAACCAAACACCGTGAAATTGGATTTTAACAAGTGTGTTGCCATGCCAAATCCCATTGCTCCTAACCCAATAAATCCAATTCGCTTTACAGTTTTGGATTTGGCAGATAATTGACTAGCCAGTTCCTCTGGATTGTATGCTTTTGCATTTGCTGCATCTGTGATGTTCACTCCATATAACTTTTCCAAGACCTGTTGCATATATTTCAATTGGAGATAAATACTCACAGTTTTGGAGAATAGAAGGGGTGAAAGACTATATAGAAATTTTCCACTTCTAGTTTACCTTTAGCAATGTTGTGTTGTCATTATTCATCAATAAATGTGAAGATCCTGACAAAACAAGCAGAAAACAGGCGTAAAATAATTACTCTCCATTCTCTAAATTGTATTGCAATTAAACTCATCACAAACATTATGTTACACAGTACCTGCAAGGATTTGTTGGTGCGCAACAGTTAAAAGTGGAAGTGGAAATATTTGTGATTTTGCTGTATCCAATACTGCTCCCTAGAATGTAATTGGAAAATCATGAGAACCAGATAATGCTTGAAATGTCAAAGATATCCCAGAAATACCAAACACCTGGATAATAATACAAGTCGACAATGCAGCATATAAAATAATACGACTCTGTAGCGATGACAGGAAATGCAATTGCAATTTTTTATATTTTACCAAGTTCTGATGAAGAGCACCAAGTAGATGAATGGACTGGTTATCCCTCAACAAATTGGGAACATAATTTTTGAAAACCCTGCAAAAGCAATGAAAATATGAGATGAATACTAAAGCACCCAGGTCAAGCCATATGATGATCATGAAGTTAAAATCGCATAGAATCAAAAGTGATAGGAGAAAAATAAATTGTTTATGACCAAGACAAAAAAAAAGGTGAATCATTTATACAACCGTTACTAAGGCTTGCAACACAAGCTCATTAGGTGGGAGTGTGGGACTTAACTCTGTAATTTTACTTTCTTGTTGAAGTAAAAAATTAATTAACAAAAATTGTGAGCCTCAATATCCAAGGATATATCCTTCTGGCTTCTCAGTGCAATCTTTTTCCTTCCCATTCAAGATTTCAAAATTTCAACCAATTCTACTATGAGAAGATAAATTTCAATTTTCTTTTACTTATTATTATTATTACATTATGAGAGAAACTTTTGAGATGCCCATTGATAATCAAATTAAGGTCTATTTATAGATTTTATACAAAAGAATAAACTCAAATTATAACAACATAATCTAGTGGATATATCTAAATAATAACAACATAATATAAAATATATTCCTAAATAATAACTATCAAATCTAAATAATATCAACTAAAATATCTACCTAACATATATTTCTAACACTCCGTCTCAAACTCAAGTTGGTGATAGAAGCCAACTCGAGTTTGGCAAAAGAAGCAAAAGTTGGATTTTGAAAATAGACGAACTTCATAACTGGACATCAACATTCAAATTGATTCTTTATCGAGGTGGGACGCTAGACCCTAAGAAATTAGAATATTGGCCAAACTAAGGTTTTCAGTGACGTCAATCCTCTGTCGCGGGAATGCGCCAATGTGGAAACTCTAATAAATTGAAGTTTTGACCAAATAAAGATTTTTAATGGCAGTGATCCTCTATCGTAGCCGCCGCAGGCAGCGATCCTCTGTCGTTACCCTAAGAAAATAAACCTTAATAGGCAGAAATTCCAGACATATAATTAAATATCAGACCAAAAATCTTATCAAAACCAAGGTTGTTACGACAAGGATTTAGGCACGATGCCATCGGACTGCTATATTGCCTAGGCAACACGGCGCCCGAAATGGCGACAATATAGCAATATGGCGACTTGCCTATTATAAGTTTCTAATATTTAATTATACAATATAAAATTACAACATCAAATTACTAAATTTCAAATAAAATATCAAAGTACTAAACATAACCATCAAAATACTAAAATACCAACATGTCAAAATATGAAAGTTGCAAAACACCAAAAAAAACCCTCAATTTCTCAAATTTCTCAAATTCACATTAGTCTTTAGTGTTCATCTCATCATCTTCATCATTTTCTTCATCATCATTTGCCAAACGTCTGATAGAAGAGCCATGCCGACGGTCATACATGATGGGCGGACCTGCGGATTCACCAACACCTCTACTATGAAGGTTGGAATTATTGAGATTTCTTGAAGCACCTACAGCTTCATCAACATAATGTCACTCAAGATCTCTATCTTCATAAACCAAATCTCAAGAATTATCAAGTCATTCATTGTCCCATTGAAATTCTTAAAGAACTAAGGGATTATAATTGCTTCCTTCTTTCCGCCAATTTTGAAAGCGATGTGCAATATTTCGATTGTATTGAACATACACCAAATCATTTAGCATTTGGTGCTTTAGTCTATTTCTTTTATTGGTATAAATATAAAAATAAAAATTTTTATCAAAATTTGAAGATTATTACTTAAATATTAATATAAGTAAATTTAAAAATTCAAATGTACTTCAATTGCGCTCACAACAGGCAGAAGAGTAATATAGACTAATAGTCCGTAAAGAAAGTAATCGAAGTTCTTCGTTGTCACCACTATATGCATCCCACCAATCAACTAATATATATATATATATAAAGAATATATTTAAAATTTGAAATTAAGTTTCATAGAAAATAAATATATATATCTATGTTAAAAAATCTTACGATGACTCTTTTGCATTTGGTGTTTGATTGTCAATTGACGGCCAAAGCTTCATCGAATTTTATCGTAATCATCTGCTTGACCACTAATCTTATCCATCAACTCTTCTTTTTAACCATCTTTTCTGGAACATCATTAAACAGTTGCGTTGCTTACGAGCAAATACGGGATCACTTATCTTCAATTCAAAATATTTTGAAGGATTTAGGAATAGTGCTGCCCCATATAACTTCGCCTCCATTTGATTGATCCATTGATCCTCAATTATTTCCATCAACTTGGCCAACAACCTTGTTTTGTTGTTGCTCGTAAAAGATTCAGTTATTTTCTTCTTCGCGTAATTCATAACCGAAGAAAGCTCAAGCATGGCTGGCTTTTCATCACCATCAACTATCCTCAAAACAATCAAAAGAGGGAGTGTTGCTCGTAAACAATCTTCTACCTGATCCCAAATTTTCTATGAATGAATGGTTTCCATCACTTTTTGCCTTTTGACATTTTCGACACCTTATTATCGCTCCAATTATCACTCACAAATAACCGCCTCAATTCATTCCTATGTTTGTTTAAACTCTGCAAAGTGAGAAATGCGGTAGCAAATTGGGTAGTCGCCGGCCTCACGAGATCTCTGCCCCTGTCTTTTCCCTCATTGCACTTAGAATTTTTCCATGTCGATAAATAAAAGTGGTGACATCCCTAACCTTTTGAATGTAGAGTTTAAATTCATTCATTTTCCCAATGTCTTCTAGCATAAAATCGATACAATGAGATGCAAAAGGTGCCTAAAAAGGACCAGGAATGCGTTGTTCTAATAATCTTCCCGCCGATTTATAATTTTCTCCATTATCCGTTACAATTTGCCCAATATGTTTCTAGCCAATTTCTTCAACATTTTTTTTTCAAGCAGGCAAGCCAACATTCTTGACTCAGCTTATGCATCAATAGACTCCAAGAAAAAAGTCACTCTCTGGACTGTTGACAAAAAGATTTATCAAGTGACACCCATATTGCTTAAAAGCTTCCATGTGCCTTTCTTTCAACTTATTTGTTACATTTACGGCATCATCAAGAAAATGGTTCCAGCAACTGATGATAACTAGGAGGTCTTAAACCATAATTTCGTAACTTCTTGATTTGAAAGCATTTAATGGAATGTCGTTTTCATAGAAAAAAATTGGCAATATGCCTTTGCACTTCTTTTGTTTCCTCTTTTCCTTTTGTAGAAGCTTCGATGGTTTTCAAAACATAACTGCCCATATGTCTTTCTTTAACAATCTCTTCGGGTGTCTTTTCGAATCATGCAACAATTGACTTACTTTGTTTTCCAACTCTCGGAGGTTCAGAAAACTTTAAAGTTGATCGAGTCAACTTTCTTTTGCTCATTGTTCCTTAACTTTGATGCACTGAAGGCTTGGAAGATAAATTTGTAGCACCGTAAATTAATTCTCTTCTAACTCCTCATTGTCCTCGGTATCCTCAATATAATCAAATTCGGTAGTACCCCGCGATGCTTTATTCATCATTTTTTATGTATTTCCTCACGAATTTCTTATGTGGTGTTAAGGCACTTAACAACATCGCCGTAGCTCCCAACTAAATGTTTCTACAACCTCTTGACCCCAGAATGCATTTGATAAATAGAGCATCCAATTAAATCTTTGCTATTCAAATCTTGGACATTTTTGTTATCGGCTATTAAATTAAAACTAGTACAAAAAAATATAAATTAAAATATATAAGTCAATTACTAAAATACGAATAGAATTAAATAATAAAAAAATCAAATATACTTAAAAATAAAATAAATAAAATAAAAGAAGTTAAAATAGAACTTATAAAATAAACAAAAAAACAAAGAACTACCTAGTACCTACATGTAAACCCTACAGTCTACACGTAAACACTAGTATATTATACATTTACTATATATATATATATATATTACTAAAACAAAAAAAAAATGCATTTTGCATTTAAGGGTGTGATTGTTTGGGTGTTTGGATTTTGAGGTTGAGATTTGAATAGTAAAAATTTTGACTTTGAATAATGGTATGATGTGATGTTTTGAATGTAAAATTGATTTTTAGTATAATATAAAAAATGAAAAAAAAATGTTTGATTTGATGTTTTTGGAGGGAAAAAATTGGATAAATAGTGTAAATCCAATCCAATTTCCCAAACAAACACACCCTAAATAGTGCAGTGCAAGTTGTGCAACTATGATGACACTGCAGTCCTCCACTCAGCATTTAATTATGGGTGTGTTTGTTTGAGAGTTTGGATTTTGAGTTGGGATTTGAATAGTAAAAATTTTGAATTTGAATAGTTGTATGATGTGATATAAATAAGTGATGATGCGATGTTTTGAATGTAAAATTAATTTTTAGTATAATATAAAAAATGAAAAATAGGTGTTTGATTTGATATTTTTTTGGAGGAAAAAATGGAATGAATAGTGCATTTAAAATCCAATCTCCCAAACAAACACACTCTATATATACTGCAGTGCAAATATTAAAAAATAATTCTGTCTGCATCTGCACTAAGTATTTATATATATATACATATAATATACTAACTACAGAGTATTTACTCATTAAACTACATAAAACACAATTCTTACCTGAAGCGACAATGACGAAAGAAGACAAAAGTGAAAACGGTGGAGATGGCGGCAGCGAAAGAGACTTAAGCGAGACTAACACGAAGGTAAGGTTAAGTTCTAGGTCTGAATTTCAGGATTGGGTTTAGGGCTGGATTGGTTTAACCTTGAGTTTTAAGAATAATTAGGGTCCAAATCGCCGTATGGCGTCGCCTAGGCGTCCAGGCGTCGCTTTGGCGACGCCATCCCGCCAGCCTTGCCGGGCGGCGAGGCTACCTATTCTGGCGGTGTATCATCACTGCCAGGACGACTAGGCTATGACGTAACAACTTTGATCAAAACTAAAAACTTGACAAATAAGTTAAAAATATTCCCATGTTACCGCCGCAAAATTCTAGCAATCGGACACTAGGTCATCTTCACACGTGGCTAAAATCGGTGGCAGCAAAACTGTTGACCGAGTTGACCAATGTTGACTGGCGTTGACCACGTCAGTCAACTCACATGCGTTGTTTCTAACGAGGATATTTGGTGGCAAGTGTATGTCAAATAGGAATATAGTGGCGGTGATGGTATAGCTCAGATGCATTGGAAAAATGACATAGGTAAGAGTAGAATGAGGTGTATATTTTGGAAGCGGTAGTAGATCTTAGACTCGAAATGCAATCCTCCGGGTACATTCCAAGTTACCGGGATGTACCGGGAGAAAGCGTGGCTTTAATACCATGTTACATTCTGAGAAATTCTTTTAAGATATTTATTGACAATAAAATTATGGTCTATTTATAAACCTTATACAAAAAAATAAACTCAAATAATAACCTAATTAGTAAATATATCTAAATAATAACAACCTAATTAGTAAATATATCTAAATAATAACAACTTAATATGATAGATATGCCTAAATAATAACTATCAAATCTATATTTTTTTCGTTATTAAGTTCTTATTAGTAAGATGATTTTCTTTGGGTTTGTTTGTTTAGTGTTTTGATTTGAATTTTTTTTTTATTTGAGATATAGAGAATTATGTCGGTAATATAAAAAGTAATATTTTATTTTGAATGTTGAATTTTATGAGAGAATAAAATATATATATTAGTAATCGTATCGGAAAAAAAGTGTGGGCAAAAAAACCCTTACTTTACATTTTAAAAACATTATTTAGTGATTGTATGCAAGAAGCTTTCATTAAATATTTGAACTTCAACAAAATGTAGAAGCTATAGTGTGATTGGGTTTCAAATAAATGCATATTGTTCACTAACACCCCCGAGCCCCCCCCTGCCCACATGCTTAAATACTACCCCCAGGAGCCATGGTGCACAGGATGGCAAAAAGCCTTCACAAAATATGTAGTATGTGCTGCATAGTCTCCATACTAGATAGATGTTAACTATGGGAGAGCACCTATGGAACAGTGATTCTTAACAAAGGGAGTATGATATTAATTTCAAGAGAAATCAGACAGAAATGCTTAGTTACCATGAATTTCCAGCTGCATTAGAGATGATATCATATATTATCCATGGATGGATCCCAGCATGAGAACCTAGTGATAAAGCTTCTAGTGAAGCTACAAAATGAATTCCTTCAAGAAGCTCAATCACCATTTTAGCTTTACTGCAAGTAAATTAGGAAGACCTAAGTATAACCACAACATTGAATCATGAGCAGCAATATTAACTCCAATATATCAGCAGCTTCAAAATAAATTTGTGCAAAGGAAATTCAAGGAAATTAATAGTAAGTACATTGTATGCCAATATTGATTAATTAATGTTTTCAACAGAACAAAAACATATATTGGCCATGCAGAAAAAATAATCTTAGATCAATGGCACACAATACAGAATACACACAACATGCACTTTGCCAAAACAAGGCATGCAATCCTATCATAAATAAAATATCTTAATACGATCAGAAAGATCAAGAAAAATAAGCGAAGATGTAACTCATACAAATATATAAACGCTAAGGGAAGACCATGACACACCATGCAGCTAAGCAAAAGGTCTGAGAGCATAATCCATTGGGTAAGAATTGCGCTAATTTAGTGATTACATGCAAGAAGCATTATGTGCACCAAAAGAGGAAAAACAAAGAAACAAATAAAAAACCAGGCAATCGAGGAGAAAACATACCTAGCTGAACCGATATCACCCTCAAATAAGAAAAGCTTTTCGCACATTGCTGTCAACAAAACAAAACATGGGCTCAAAAAGTCAGATAAAAACTTGTTATTTCAGAGTAATGCCAATCAGAATCTGATACAAACAACCAAAAGAAGACAGGAGAAACTGAACCGGAAAGAAAGGGTTGTTCCTGAGAAGTAGATTCCAACCGCCCAGAAGAAATAATCTGATGATCAATGGCCAAACAAAGGAAAATGATTGGCCAGCCAAAATATGGAATCTGAGATGAAAATAAATAAAAATAGATCCACTCCTACCATGAATTGTTCATCGTAAATTTCTGTTGTTATTTTCAACACATACATATCAACAACAGTTTCCATCTGGTAATCCTCTACAATGAAAACATAAAATATATTATAGAGAGAAAATATGTACAAAAAAAAAAAGTGAGAGCCTGAAAGGAATGCTATCAACTCTAGTTGTTCACACCATCAAGGAGTAACCTTTATTCCCTTTGATATTTCCAAAAGTGAATATTGACAAGGGCATTCATGACTATTATGTGATACTGAAACCTCTGATTTAGTTGGCTTATAAATAAAAAGGAATAATATATTCTTACATTTGTTTTGGAAATTAGAGGATGTGACAAGAAACCAGATATAGGGAGATACATTAGAATGAAGCGAGAGAGCATATCGCCAAACATTAAGACCGGTTAGTGAGACATACTAAAAAATACTGAGACCTTAGAAAGCATAAGGATTTGCTTACTTAGAGTTTGATTCAGTTTCTTTACTATGATACCCTAATGATTTCCTATAAAAACATATTATTTCTTCTTACAAAACATCATATCAAATCCACTATTCAAACCGACACTCAAAACCAAACCTATGTAAGCAAACCCTAGAATAGTAGAGCACTTCGAAAAGGATTCTTAGGGCCAAGCAATAAGATCCACTAAAGTTGGATCATTTTCAAGATTCACTTATTTTTTGGTGATTGGTACCATAAAACTTCCCTCACCCTATCACACCCCTAGCTTCCTTAGTAAAAAATCTGCAAGACATCACTTTGGTGCAGAAAAAGAAGTCCTCCATACGACCATTGATCGCTTGGACTCCTTCACTCCATGGTTGGTGAAAAATCAACTTAGGTGGGTCAGCACTCGGAAAACCAGGTCTGGCCTGTATTGGTGCAATCATGATGACCATTTTGGACATACCATCTTCATCCTCTCAAGATATACCGTGATTGCATAATCAAATGTTATTGGCTATCTATCATATCCTTGAGCATGTTTTCCTTGACTAGAGGCCCGTTTCCTCATATTTATTTTGGGTGCAACTAACAAAATAGACTGATTGGATCCATGGTGTGGCCCCTCCTTGAGCTTAATTCAAACAACAACAACCTATGTCACCATATCTATAGATTTTCCAGTCTCACCTTCCATCACATCTCTTGCACATCAAATGAATTGGTTGACTTCTTTCCAAAACAAGGAGCTATGGGTTTCATTTATCTTTTTGTGGCTGTAAATTGGTTCTCTCATTGTTTTTTTTTAGTAAAAAGATTTGAGATTTTGTATTCCCTTGGGTTTATAGTTTTGGTCTTATAGCTCTAATAGGTAGTGATGTGATAGGTAATAAGTACCCTAATTTGATAGTTTTGAAAATTGTTTATATTTATTTAAATATATATAAGTTGATAACAAAATTAATAATTGGAGATTATGTCAAAGTAGAAAATATTTCTACTTTGAGCAAAACCTTGTAAAGAAATTAGATTTTTTTGATATGTCCATTGAATGAAATTAAACATCAATCATACCTTACAATTGAATCTGCGATAAGTATGGAGATCTCTTAGGGTGTGTTTGTTTGGGGGATTGGATTTTAAATACATTATTCATCACAACTTTTCCCCCCCAAAAAACATGAAATCAAATACCTATTTTTTATTTTTTATATTATACTAAAAATTAATTTTACATTCAAAACATCACATCAACACCTATTTATATCACATCATACAACTATTCAAATTCAAAATTTTTACTATTCAAATCCCAACTCAAAATCCAAACCCCAAACAAACACACCCTGTCGCTTATAATCAATACAATGGATAAAACACAAAAGTAATTAAAGAATCTAACAGGTAGGTGAGTAAAACAGAGTCATAGGCTTAAAATTGACTACATGTCACAGCCAAACAAATGTTACTGAGCTTTCCATGCAGGGGACATGCAGATACTTGTAAGATAATAGCCCAAAATATAACTTTTTGGGCATTCTTACACAGCCATGCAGGGGAGGTGTCGGATGACTGTAAATACATTTACAATTCATAAAGATTTTCACACACCCGTGCAGGAGACATGAATTCCCTTGTGTAGGATAGAAAGGACATGATCACAGACTTACTCTGCAATAAATATTGTAGGCCACATACGGAAAAACACCAAGAGAAACATGATCAAGGGTTTTTTGTTTTTTTGTTTTTTTTCTTTTGCTATAGAACCATACAGTTCCCTATAAAAACACACTAATTTTATATACAAAACATCACATCCAATACTGATTTCACCCCAAAACCAAAACATAAACACACAAGAGAAAAAAATAACCATAAGAGTAAAAACTAATGCTTATAGTGAGATTGTCCAACATTGTTTCACACATAGAAGTATCATGTTCAAATACCCACCATCAAATTTTGAAAAGGGATTTTATTCATAAGGGTATATTTTAAGAGTTTAGCCTCCATAAGATTAAAAATCTTGTAACTATTATAAAAGAGACTTTACTCTTTTAAGCAAATAGTTTTAAATGATTCAAAATCTCTAGCAACCATATATCACTTAACTATACCAATCATACCTATTAGCATAAGTGTGAAATGATGTAAATGATCGTCTCACTTAAAAGAATAAACTGTTAGAGATACAGCATTATTTATTTATTTATCTACAAACAGAAATCAACCACACACCTCCTCATTTTTTTATTTTTTTATTTACATAACGGAAGTCAAACAACACGTCCCCTTACGTGTAAAGGGGATATAGGCCACCATGCGAAGCTTTCTCGTGGACAACAATGAATGGGGGACAGTGGGTAGTTATTGTTCATGCATGTTTGCTGGATTTAGTTTGTTATTATTTGAGTTTTTATTTTTTTGTATGATACTTATTAATAGGCTTCTATTTCATTATTAATAAACAAGTCAGGATTTCTCCCAAAAAACAATATATAAAAATATTAAGATATATTTTAGATAAATATTTTAATTATTATTATTTATATTTGGTAGTCATTATTCATGCATATTAAATTGGTTTGCTATTATTTGACTCTACCCCTTCTCTCTGATTTCATTATTAATAAACAAATCAAAATTTCTCGTCAAATGTAATATGAAATTAGTCATGTTGTCTCCAGAATGTACCCATAGAATTGCCTCTCAAATCTGAGATACACATCACTCCAAAATATTTAACTCTGTTAAGGTAAGTTTATTTCACTAACTTGAAAAATATAGTAAAATTACATATATATATATATATATATGTACAACCCTAAACTATTTGGGTTCAAAGGCCTATAATATAATTATATACTAATTGATATATATATATATATATCAAACACTGTATATATAATACTCCCCTTCAAGTTGGAGCATAGATATTTGTCCTGCCCAACTTGTTACAATGACTAAGGGCCCGTTTGGATTGGTTTTTGGTATGAACTTTTGGCTTCTACTTCTTAAAAAAAACAGTTTGTACTTGTTTGCATTAGCTTCTATCCAAAAACAGAAGCAACTTTTGAAGCTCCATTTTTTAGAGGGGTAGCTTCTGAAATAAGCAGAAACAATTTAATGTTTTATCTTTAATAATAATAATAATAATAAGAATAATATAATATAATATAATATAAAACTAATTAATTTATCTATTATATTTTAATAAAAACTATTATTATTTATAATTTATATTTAAAATTGAGATACCAATTTTAAGTAACAGTATATGAATTTTTTAATTATACTAAAATTACTTAATATAATTTATAAAATTTAAAAATACAAATAATTTAATATTATATTGTAATTTTATTTTTAATTGATATATTATCCTTCTATTAAAATTTTTTAATATAAATAATAAAAAACTGACGAATCCACGTAATCTCACATACGGAATATGCCATCGCTCGATACTCTGATTCTGGACTTGATCGGTTTATTACTTTTTGAAGAAACCAAGTTACCACCCATAAATACACAGAACCCAGAGGTTGATTTACGATCAACTTTAGAGGTTGCTCAATCAGCATAAAAAAAACATTTGTGCCCATAGTTCTTATACAATAACCCCTACCCTGGAGTACCCCTCAATTACCCAAAAATTTATTCCAAAGCCTTCCAACATTGGCTTGTAGGAACACTCGTGAACTAATAGTATGGTAAGTCAGTTCACGAGTGTGAAAGATAGTTCAGTGCATTTATTTCATCAATCATAGCGGCACGCTAACCAAAATGAGATAACGCCTCAGAAAGAGATTTAGGAATAGATAAGAGTGAAAACAAACAAATATGATCCATGCGATAAGTGATCACTAGAAATAACATAGGCAATGGGATAGGCATACTAACGTTTAGCAATAAAGAGGTCCTCAGGAGCTTCGGGAAGTGTGGGCGGCAAATCAGCATACTATAAAGGAGGATCATGAACCGCAAACAAAGAAGAAATTGGTGCAGGCCATGGCAGAGAGGGTCTGGGACAACAGAAGTAAACATGCGGAAACGGAATAGGCTTATATGGAGCTTGAGATAGAGATACTGTATAAATTAACCAATTATCATCTGGAAGGGATGTAGGGGTACTAGAGCCGAAAGGAAAAGTAGTGGACTCAATGAAAACGAATCAAATGAGACAATGTAAAGGTTAAGATCCGGACTGTAGCACACATAACCCTTTTGAACTGATAGTACCTAAGCAAAAGACACTTTTGAAACCTAGGATCGAGTTTATTAATGTGTGGCCCAACATCCCGGCCATAGCATAGATACCCAAAGATTTTAGAAGGAATGGGAAACAAGGATTTAGAAGGAAAGAGAGTTTGTTAAGGGTCTTACTCCCAAGACTCATGATGACAGAATTAATTAAGAAGCACCCGTAGAAACAACATCTGTCCAAAACATCTTAAGGACTTTCCTCCTCTGAAACAACAAAGCACGAGTAGTCTCAAGGAGATGCCGGTTCTTGCGTTCAGCTACCTCATTTGAGAGAGTGTATCAACATATGACGACTTATGAAATATACCATGCTGACACACATATTGATTGAATCGATCAGAGAAATATTCTTTGGCATTATTACTACGTAAGCAACAGACTTGAGCATTAAGTTGAGTTTTAATTTTGGCACTAAGGGCAAGAAAATGAGAAAAGACTTCCAACCGAGATTTTATGAAGTAGACCAATATCATTCGAGAAAAGTCATCCACAAAAGAAAAAAAAAATACTGAAAACCCGGTTGACACTAACCGGCAAAAACCCTAGACATCAGAGAGAACTAACTCAAGCAGACTACCTGATCTTTTATTTGATCAAGGAACAACGCTAAACGATCAAGCTTAGCAAACTAACATGACTCAAATTCGAAAGACTTGACGTAAAAAAACTCAAAATGTAGTTGTTTTAGTAAGGACATAGAGGGATGACCAAATCGGCAATAAACTTCAAAGGGAGTATGGGTACCAAAACATGCCACGTGGGACTTAGACCCAGTAGGTGTAGAGATATCAACTATATAGAGCCCTCCTGAACGATGTTCACTACCAATAATCTTTTTTGTCGCACAGTCTTGAGACAGACAATAATCAGAAAAGAATGAGACAACAATTTAAGTCACAAGTTAATTTGCTAACAGAAATCAAATTAAACGCAAGGCCAAGAATATATAATACAAATTGTAATGGAAGACTCAATGGAGGATTAGCAATCCCAACCCCAATAACTTACGCAGTTGAACCATCCCCAAGGGTAATAGATGAATGACTAAATCAAATAAAAGATAAAAGGCTCGGGTTACCGGTCATATGGTCAATTGCTTCGATATCAATGACACAATATAATTAGATACTAATATATATATATAACAAACCCGTTACGGTTGCGTCCGCTAGTCACTTTTCCGACACATCCGATCAACACCGCTTCCACCACCATGTTCTTGACTCTAAGACAACACTGGCCACAAAACAATGTTTTCAAAAGTGGCGCGTGTTAGTCACCTGCTCTAGTCAACAACTGGTCAATGTAGTAAATATTTTTATTGCTGCCAACTACAGCCGCAAGTAAAGATGCGTATGGCATCCAATCCCAAATTTTTCAGTGACTATTTGTAAAGTTAGTTTCCTATTTTTGATCAAACTTTTAGTTCGGTCTTCGATCATTTGTCCTGCTACCTTCTTAAGGTTTATCGTTTCTGCTGCGACAAAGGATTGCTAGCCACCTCCGTGATAGAGAATCGCCGCCACAAAAAATTCTAATATGGCCAAAACCTTGATTTCTTAGGATTTGGCGCCACCACAACAGAGGATCTCCACCAACAAAAAACTTAATTAGACCAAAACCTTAGGTTGTGTTCTTTTGTAGGTTTTACCATAGGTTTTTACTATTCAGATTATTTTTTCCCTCAAAAAATATCACATCAAACAATTTTTTTTTTTTATATTATACTACAAATTTATTTTACATTCAAAACACCGTATCACCCTCTATTTATATCATATCAAACAACTATTCAAATTTAACTTTTTACTATTCAAAAACCCAAACCCAAAAACTTAAACCCACAAACAAACACATCCTTAATGTCTTAGGATTTAGCGCCTCCACAATAGAGAATCGCCACCACCAAAACCCTAATTCCTAAGGGTTTAGCATTGCCACTACAACAGAGGATTGCCGATGCAAACCACCAAGACAAAGGGTCGAATGATCTAAAGTTGATAACCAATTATGAAATCTGCCCAAATTGAGGCTCTGTTGCCACCGATCTCTCTTGTCAAACTCAAGTTGGCTTCTACGGCATTACCTTGAGTTTAATGGGATGTTGCCCCCGGTATCTTTTGTCAAATTCAAGTCAACTTCTACAACATTACCTTGAATTTAAGGGGATGTTGAAATGTATTTTAGATAAATATTTTAGTTAATATTATTTTAATTTGGTGGTTATTGTTCATGTCTATCTGTTATACTAGGTTAATATTAGTTTATTCTTTTTTACTATGCTTAGAAATAGACTTTGATTTTATTCTTCATAAATGACTCAGAATTTCTACCAAAATGTAACAATGTACTTATAAGAGACCACAAAGGTCATTTCCTCTATCCTTTCCAAGTTCAAAGGCTTTGAGAATTCGAATGCAGAAGAGATTTTGGTCACTGTTCACACTCTTAAAACACCAGCATTGTCCCCTCCCAAAATTATAGTTGAATGCATTTCAAAAATGCTCTTGCATGGACTCATGGCTCTAACCCTAAGATCACACATAGGTGGTACACGAATTTGCTAATCTCAACGCTAGGGGAAACATTGATCTATCAATTTATCTATAGCTTTCATTTTTATTTTTTTTTTATAACATGGGAATCCACAACTGCTACTATTCGACTGCGTTCTTGGTAAATTTTCGGTCGAACCTAATAGCTTGCAAATTAAGTCCGATAAAGCAAGTAACACAAGGTGAACGTGTGGCAGACAAGACCCGGGGGCATTAGGAGGTTTGAACCCATGACATCACGGTCACGAGTCTATCCCCACACTACCAAGCCATCCCTTACGGGACTGTAGCTTTCATCTTTTTGGATCTATGGTATTTTTGTCTTGAATTTGTATCATTAATAATATTAATTTATTCTCTCTTAAAACAAAGAAAAAAGAGAGAGAGAGAGAGAGACAAAGAGAGAAGATTCTGGCTTGTCTCGAAAATGAGATGACTATTACTGGAATTATGACACAATTTTCTGCATAGTTTACAAGGATTAGCGAGAAAAGTATATGCCAACCTGAAATTAAGTCACAGTTTGCTTAACTAGATAAGAAATAGAGTTCTATAGCTCTATGCAGTAGAATAAGACAGATTAAGAGGTGTGCAATCTCATGTAGCTGGTTTGAAAGACACAAACCACTGCAGTCTAATGTACCTTAGGGAACAAGTAATTGTAGAATAAATTGGAATTAGATTAAAGGACAGTTACTAACCATATCAAATGAAGCATACCTTTTAGACTTTTCTCCAGTTTTTGAATATGTGCAGGGAGTATGGTCGAATGGATAATGATGACTGTGTCTTTCCTCAATTCTGAAATTCAGGAAAAGAGTAAACACCAGTTCACTTTAAAATGAAAGAATACCAATTACTAAAGATGCTCCTGTCACAAGCATGAGATGACCTTTCAGAATGCCCGCATCACCATAAAAAAGATCATTTATTTGATCAGCATGAGATACAAGAACGATCAAAGCTTTGACATCTGCACAAACACACACACACACACACATGAACACACATATGGATAGTGTAAGTACAAACAACTACACAAGGAAAGAGAACTAGACTGACAGAATATGTTTGAATCAAGAAGCATCTTTCTGCTTGACAGGAAAGATGAATTTACTTTGTTCAAGACTCAGAGGAAGATTGTAAATGCACCATTCAATGATAATCAATACAAATAGAAGATAAGATTAAGATCAGTGAATTTGAGTTCTGGATCACCCTGTCCAGTTTCATATTTGTTGCTTGTATATTGATTTCACCTCTGTGATTTGCACATGGTCAAGCCCATCCATCTTAACCAGCAAAGACCACTCCAATTTAAGTCCAGGAAACCATGAATCCATGATTTTACTTTGGGCACTTATCATCTTTATCATAAATCAATTTTAGAATCACATAGTAAAACCTAAACTTTTATTGATTACTAGCCAAAGCATATTAAGATGACAAATTTTATTCCTGAAAATTCCGAAAATGTAAGCTGGAACCCCTCAAAAGATAGAATGATATCCGTACCTTGCCCTGCCTCCTTTACACTATAACACTTTTTACCACCTAGCTTTGCAAAGTCGTCCATTAACTGACTAGACGCCTGCAATGGAAAGTTCTTTAAAAACAAATCACACCATAGAATTAACCCAAACTGAGGTTTGTCTACTTGGGTTTTAGTTTTGTGCTTTTATTTTGGATTTTGGACTGAACGTTGGTCTGAATGATTTTCTGAGACGAAATAGCATATTTTCATAAATTATCGTGGGATTTACATATTAAATAGTGCTTTGAATGTGATGTTTCGTGAAATGAAAGTGTATTTTTATAGAAAATTGTAGGGGTTGCATATTAAAGAAACTGAAACCAAACTCCAAGGGTGTATTTGGTTTTAATTTCAAACCAAAATCACATTATTCAATTCACAGAATTTCTAAAAAAATTACAATGTTTTCTCTCACAAATATCATATCAAAATACCATTTAAACCAAAACTCAAATAAAAAATCCAAACCCAATCCAAACCAAACAAACCCAAGTAAACAGAGCCTCATCAAAAGGCAATTTAAATGTATAAAAACAGTAAAGGAAAACACATGATCATTTATAGTTCCTAAAGTAGTCCTTTATGATGTCTTGATAACTTCTTGCAAATATATATTGACTTATACTCGTAATAGCCATCATTACGGCATTCATTTTCGGGATTATTTACTTTTTCCTGTGTATCCTCTATCTAGGCATTACCAATCATCTGTATATCACTACATTTCACCAACTACGATCACTATGATTCAAGACTTTTTCAATTCAGAAGTCCACGCTCAGTCTCTAACTAACACAAGACTCCACATCAATTGAACAGATGTATTATTTTGTTTTGACTTCTTAAATCTCCTTCCAAATCATATTTCAAATTCCAATTCAACTGAACCCTGCCAACGACTCCTACAGATCATCCCATCAAATTAAAGCAATGAAAACCATATAAATAATTTTACATTATAACGGATATGGTCTATATGCATAACTGCTGGAGCTATAATCTCTCCATAAAAACAGCCGCTAACCTCCTTGATGGTAGGAAGGTAGCAAAGTTCAAAACCTTTTTATTCCCTCTATTAGAAAAGAATGTTTACATCATCAGACAAAAAGTGCTTAGAAGAACATCAGGGAACCACTAAATCGAGTCTTGACACCAACAGTTGTAGGTATGTTCTTGGGTTTAGTTCTGGTTCAATGCTTATGATTCTATTTTTTTAAGGTTTGTTTTAGTCTCGCACTATTCATACAAATTTTCGCCCTCATAACCATCGAATCAAACGCTTATTATTCAATCCTTATAATTCTATTTTTTTAAGGTTTAGTTTTAGTCATGCATTATTCATACAAATTTTCGCATTCAAAACCATCTAATCAAATTTTATTCAAAACACAGCATCAAACTCCTATTTATATTCCATCAAACAGTATTTCAAATCAATTTATTACTATTCACAAACCCCAAATCCAAATCAAAACCTTTCGTGGAATGCAGAGATTAAAGAAGACGACTGAAAGTTGACTGCCACTACATCACAAGAATTTTCTCAGTTCTCATCTTCATCTCCTCCGAGACAATTATTAAATAAAGATCAAAGCACGAATACTGCATACGAAATCAATGAATAAAGATAATTGAGCATTCCCAAAAGGGCACGCCACACCTCAAATGCTTGCGCTGCATAGCCAGACCGAAGAAGAGAAGCTCCCAATTTTAAGGAAACCTCGTCCAAACCCACAAAACCCACTTTGCTTTCAGCCATTTCTAACCGAGAACTCCCTAACCTTCTCGAGAAAAGTTGGGTGATTGATGCCAATCAGCAAACCTGTCCCTGTGTTATGTTTGCTTATGCTAACGCTTCCACTCAATCTAGAGGAAACAGAAGACGCCTAAGGATTTGAAAAATAATTATAAAAATAAAAAAGGAATAAGTTCAACGTGCTGATGCAACGCTGACTCTGTAAATTAAATGAGAGAAATCACGCTGCAATTTACCATTAAAGTATCGGGAAAAGACCCGCAGAACGCACATGGTTCTTGATTTATCTAGTCATCAAAAATAAAAACTAATTAATTTTAAAGAAAAAAAATTAATTTTGAATATAGTATAATAAAAATTTATCAATTTTTTTTTTTTTTACTCAATGTAAAAATCTCATCAATTTTAATTTTATTATAAACAATGTCAATCAATTTTGGTGTACCATTAGAAAATTAAGAGAAATTGTTGACATTGACGTAATGGGGTTGACAACTGAAGTGGAAACCAACACTGCTACTTGCAATTATACACACAGCTGTGTATAATTAAGTGTATAACCATGTTTAGGCATTATATCTGTTTTGCTCTAAAATTTTATTTTTGTTTCTTATATATATTTTTTTTAAAAATATTTTTAATTTAGAATAGTTGATATATTTAAAATGGATAAAAACCAATAGTAATCTAAATATAATTAAATATAATTTTAGTTCAAATATAAAAATTTATGGGATATGTTCATTTGAAAGATTTTGTCTGAGATTTACTTTTCATCAAAATCATTCATCTTACAAACATCCAAATACACAAATGTGATTATTATTAATTTTTTCTATGTTAACTGTATAACTATTCTAAATTTAAAATAGTTTTTTAAATATAACAAAAAATAAAATTTTAAATCAAAATAGAAAGATATACGGTCGTGTAGTTTCCCGTCAACTGCCACATCAACCCCGTTATGTCCATGTCAGCAATTTCTGTTAAATTTTGAACGGTGGTACTAATATTGAACGGAATTGTTTATAATTAGACTAAAATTGATGAGTTTTTATATATATATTTGGACCAAAATTGATAAATTTAGTTATATTGGGACAAAAATTGACCCGAATTTTTATTACAATTAAATTTTAATTAATTCTAAATAATCTAATTAGTTTTTTACTCACAATTATTTCAAAATTTTATTTTAATTACATTTAATTAAAACCGATAAAAATAAACATGATTCAAAATTTAAAAAACTCGGCTCAGATATTATATGAAAAATAATTTAACATATAATATTTCTCTAAAAAAATTACATTATTAATAAATTTTAAAAATGCATTTGGTTTTAGATTTGGAATTTGGATTGCATAAATAATAAAAATAAAAATAATAATTTGAATAATTTTTTGATTTAATATAAATATGTATTAATATAATATTTTGATTATGAAATCAATTTTTGATATAATATAAAAATAATAAATACGAATTTAATTTGAATATTTTTAAAAGAAAAAAGTGGTAAATAGACTCTAACGGGCCTGTTTGGTTAGAGTTTGGATTTTAATAATTTTTTTATATTTTAAATAAATTGTTTGATATATATAAATATATGTATGAAATGATATTTTGAATATAAAATTAATTTTTAATATAATATAAAAAAATAAGAGTATGATTTGATATTTTTGAAAAGAAAAAATAGAACAAATACATATTTTGTTGGAGGTTTAAATTTTGAATTTGGATTTTGAACAGTAAGATTTTTTTTTAATTTAATTACTTTTTTTAAATATAAATATATATTAATCTGATACTTTGTATATACACTTATATCTAGTAGTTAATATAAAAATAAGAGTTTGATTTGATATTTTTTTAAAATAAAATTCAGTGAATAAACTTAAGAATGGGTTTGGTTGGGGTTTAAATGTTGATAGTAAATTTTTTTAATTCGAATAATTATTAGATATTAGATAAATATATATTAATGTGATATTTTGATATAAAAATAACTTTTAATATAATATACTAAAAAATTAAAAAACTTTGATTTGATATTTTTAGGAGGAAAATTATGTGAATGAACTCCAACGACCTATTTGGTTGGGTATTTAAAGTATGAATATTACTTTATTTTTTTTTAATTTGAATTATTGTTTGATATTATATAAATATATATTGACTTAATAATTTTAACGTGAAATTATTTTTTAATATAATATAAAAATGAAACCTTTATTTGATATTTTTAAAAGAAAAATTAGTGAATAGTAAAATTTTTTAAATAAATTCAATCAAACACAAACATTTTTAATTTATATTTGAAGTAATTACAAATAATTTGTTATAAGTAATTTAAATTATTTTCTTAAAAAGATAGTATTATTACAAATATTTACATAAATTATTCGTCCAAATACAAAAATCATTTATGCCAATTTTTTTAAATATCTATTTCACTCATAAAATTTTAAATAAATAAATATATTTTACTATATTACACATCTCATATTAACTAAATTAAAAACATGTAACTTTCTAATGCACATTTTTTTAATAACCGTGCCCAAAAGAAAGTGGCATAATCGTCATGGAACGAATGGATTATATACATATTGTTAATGTGGTTTGATTCTTTTTAAAAGAATTAGATTTATTAAAAACTTGTAATTTGTTTCAAACACATTTCATAGAAAAAAATTTAAAAAACAAGTAAAAAAAACTAAATAAATCGCCAAAAAAAAAAACATTTTGATTAAGATTTTTTAATTGAATTTACAATAAATACATAAAACTCTGTCTATAAAATGTAAATGTTGATACATCGTTTCGACGCAATCCTTCAGAAGATAAGTAATCACAATTTATTATTATTTAAATTATTTTTATAATTTTCTTAAATTAGATCGTATTTTTATTATAAATATAATATTTTAATCAAAGTTGGGAGCCTTTCCTTAAATATAATATGTCCACACCTTCTAAAATATATTTGGTATCCCACTTCTTCTTAAAATATGCTCAAACATCTGAAAATTATGCCTAGGTCATCTTAAATAGATCTAATAATGTTCGAATAATCTAAAATATATCTGGTAGCACCCAGTTTTTTGAAAAAATATATATGATAGCACCTAGCCTTTTCAAAAATATATCTTATAGCGCCAAACAGTCTGAAAAATATGGCTAAATCATCTACAATATATATGGCAACGTCCAACATTCTGAAAAGTACACTCAAACTATTTGCAACACATCCGATAAGGCCTTTACATCTAAATATACGCCCAAACCATTCTACAATATACGCCTAACCTTTTGAATTCATCACGTAAGGCTTGCACCTGTCCGAGCGCCTTGCATTCTGTCCAAGCGGCTTCTACATCAGCCGGACGACTTTTGCATCAGTCTGGGCGACTTCTGCATATATCTAGAAGATTTATTCATATGTTCTACATCCATCCCTGGCCTAGGCACTGATCGTCCCTACCACCAGTCGGGCATCCATCACCTCTACTCTAGTTTCCGAGGTATGTTTTTGATTTATTTTAATCTTTATTTTTGTTTTCTATAATCCTTTATGGAATCTGAAGCCTAGTCTTTTTTCTCTCTAATTTTATCTTTGCGGGATAACATAGGCCATCTTCTTGTCATATGGCTTAATTTATTTGAACCTATTTGACAAATAAACCTCGAGATTAAATATTGTTTTTTTTGCAATTTTAGAAAATAGATCGTTGTATCATAACTAATTAGCGTACTTCATGCACATCGTCAGTTCATTCTGATCGAGGAGTGTTTGAGTCTCTTGATTATTCTTTCAGTGATGATACTACTTGTGAAGAGATGACGAGGATTTTGGTTCTTATTCCGATGATAGTTTGGCACCAGCCCATTATCCTAAAAATCCCCCGCACAACGCATCCTTTCCATCGGCAATTTTCTAAAGAGTGTGACCTACCCCATATTCCTAGCATTTGGGAGGCAAATTTGATTCAATCTCATTGAATTCCATAAGATATAGTTGAGTGTCTTTTCCATTGAAGCTACTTGTTACCTCGCAAGGACTTAAACGAATGAGATCCTTGTTTGAGCACTTGACGCCATAAGTTAGAAGAGAGTGGCATGCAAAAAATATTTTTTATGCCAGTCGTTTAACCTAACATGTACATGATCGTTTACTTGTTTTTTTTACCTTTACTATGTCATTATTATATGTATTTTTTTATTTATTTTTTCGATCCCTTGGCATATTCAATCATGCCATCTCTGCATATTTTTGGCATTCTGAAATTTGCATATTAATATGTTTTATTTTTCAGTGGGGATTCTTGGCATCACTTTGGCTAATGTTGCTGTTGATGTAATTTTTCAACAATAAAAAGTAAAATCCGAAAATAGAGAAATATCTTCGAATTTGATAGATGAGTGTCTGAGATTAGGAATCTCTAAACACTGTAGAATACATAAAATGAAATAGGGAAAATAAAATAAAAGACTGGAAAATAAAGTGGTGATCCCCAAAAGCAATTCTCTTGAATTTGATGTCGATTGAAGATCCTTTTGTCAAACAGCACCGGATCCTTAAATAACCCCTTAAAAAAGCGGTTTGAACCACCATTTGGTCGGTTACAACAACTGCTGTCAACCGTCCACCAAGTTCTCCTCTGTTGACACGTGTTGCAACTTCCTTCAACCGTTTGCCAGTTGCAACTTCCTCCAACCGTCCTAGAACTGCCTCTCACGACTTGAACCGTCCGAAATGCATTTCGTCCGACCTGCATACCCACTGCCATGTCCCTTCTTGCCCGAATTCGTTTCGCCCGACCTATGTGCCACCCGACCAATCCAGAGACTAACTGGTCGCTAGACCAAACGATTCCTTGGCCGCCCCATCAAGCGACCACCATCTGGTCTCTTGTCCGACCACGTATCGTCCGTCTCATTCTTCTTCGTCCGACCTCACTTTGTCCGAACTCCGCATCAACCGACCTCCATATCAGCTGACCTCCGTGTCGTCCGACTCAACCGACTGCGGACCGCCTGACCTGCTCAACCGACTTTGGACCATCTGACCTATTTAACCGACTGAGAACCAACCGACCGCAGACCAACCAAATATGGTCCCGACCACAGAATAACCGACTGTGGTCCCGACCACGGTCCAACCGAC